GCCAGGGAGGCCCAGCCTGGGGTGACACAGCCAATACTTATACAGCAACTGATGTTTCTATCCTTAAGTGAAGACCACAGCACGTGGATAGTCAGAAATCTAAGAGAAAACTGACAATCAACCTGTGCCAACAAGTGTGCTACTGTCAACTGTCAAAATGACTGAAAAAGGCTTCCTTTATGCTCCAATTTCTTTAGCTTCTGCATGGTAAAATCAGCAGAACAATACAATATTTATCCAATCTTATCACGTTTTGTGCTTAAGAGACAAGTTGAGGGGTAGGATTTCAGAGTCTTATCTTAGCATACGTGAGATAAATAAAAATGAATCATTTGACGATGTAATGAAAACAATAGGCCAATTTTTAGTAAGTAACATTATAACCCAGAGAGCCTTATAAAAACACATTTATATTTTTGTCTTCCACTGGAAAAAAAAGGGAAAAAAAATTAAAAAATCAATGCAAACAATATTTTTAAAAAGGCAAATCCAATCTAACAGTTATGTCACATCTAACCAACAGTACAAGATAGGCCAATAATGACAATCACAATACCATACGTGCAAACACGTTAAGTTTTATAAAAATATCCTTGGCTTGGGGGTTGGGACTTTTCACACTGTTAATCTCAGCAGCTGCAGTCACAATGTCACATAATACCCTGTAACTAGAGGCAAGGGATCCAGCCCATGATATCATGAATTACATTATTACTTTTTACACAGATAGAAAAGTTAGTAGAGGGTACACCAGAATACTGCAGGCCACTGTGCACTAAGCAGCATGAGACACACATTCCAATGGCTTGTGCCCCAGACAAATCTTGGCTAGACGCGCAAGGGAGATTACCAATTTTCTTAGTGCAATTATGCAATAAAATTTGAACCTGGTCCTTTCACTGAATGCAATTGGAGTAATGCTGAATTAAGATGGAAGGAAGTGGTTTTTATGTTTTAAATAACAAGAATGATTTTAGTTAATTGAGTCTTTTAAGAAAGTCTGACCCTTTGTGAGAGTTGTTCTTCAATTTCCCTGGTCTCAAATGGTTCATCATTTAATACAAATAATCCAGAATTCACTTTATTATTATATTTATTCACATTAAATCATCCTGAAAAAATGTAAAAAGTGAAAAGGAAAGCATTTTTCATCTTAAGATCATTTCTTGACAGAATTTGGAGAGCAGTGTTGCAGATTTTTCACTGTCTTTTAACATAATCAACATCAACACACGTTATTTCTACAGACAATAAATCATCAATGCCTTAAATAAATTCCATTTGCTCGGGAGATAAATCTTCAAATTGCTTCCTTAGAGATAACATCTGAACAACAAATTGTCCAGGCATGATCTGTCTCATAAAACTCCCATTTTGGCATCAAGGGCACTCACTCCATTTGCTACCTGTTGGCCCTTCGCCATGGCCCCAGTCTGAGGACAAATACGGCATAATTTCCTCATCTTCTATCAATGTAGAAGATAACTTTTCTGCATTTTTTCTCTAGTATGTGATCTTTTCAAAAGTACCCGATTGATTTATTTTCAGAGGAATCTTCTCTTCAGTAAATGTGACACAAACAAAATGCCATATTGTTATGTACTGATTTTACAAATATAAGCAGTTTAAAAGATAAAACCTTATTAAAAATCATGTTACTCATAAAAAAGTTGCATTAAGAACACACTGATGCATGCTTTTTCATGAACCATGCACTTGGCTTTCTTCTGAAAACATAACATTGAGAGAATAGATTGCCTGAACCTTTTCCAGAATGCCGATAGAAGAATGGATGTTTGAATTCTTTCATATCGGAAGCAATGTTAATGGTATAATTAACATTAGATACAGCCTTTTCTTAGCACTTCAATTTGCCCTGCAGTTCAGTGCATTCAGTTGTCCTTTGACACACATTCATCCAAGTGGATACTCAAACACAGACTGAAGCTAGATATGGGTAGATTTCATGGGAGGGCAAATACTTCTACTCACTGAAGAAAGACAATCTCCCAAACTCAAACACCAACAGACTAGCACTGTATACACAAATGATCACAAAGCACACTATAACATAAGATATCATGAATGAGTTCTTGCTTGGCTTACAAAAAACTTACACTTCATTGAAGTTAAAATCAGCTAGACATTACCTGCTGGAGGAGAAAAAAGTGCCTTCTAGCAAGGCAGGTCAACAATCTGCTTCTGAAGTTTTGATTGATTGGTAGTCCAGACATGAAAATCAGAAACATAACCTCCCAATATCTTTTCTAAATAATGCATGCCAGAGGAGAGGGTTTGCAGTGTGTTTCTGGATATCTCTGCTCAACCACTTAAGCGTTTTTTCTTGTCCAAAACTGACAGTGCTATGAAATGCCAGGTATCTTCTCTTGGTAAAAAACATACACAGGGAAAAACACCAAATAAAAAAGTTTTGCACTGAAATCAGGGAGCTGCAATAAAAAAGAGGGGAGGAGAAAAAAATGGCACATCTGATCAAAACTAAACATTATATGATTTTTAAGTAAAGCACCAGACACCAGATACATAATCTTTTAAGTATATACCAGAGCTTAGAAAAAGTCCTTGAAGGGAAGAATTTCAGGCTATGTCAATTTTCTTCTTTTGAAAGAGACACAAGTGTTGGTAAACTACTTTAAGTACAACCGGTCTGAGCACCTTCACTGACACAGTGACAGAAAGTATTGTGGATAATTTCACAGCTTTAAAGAATCTGAACAAGACCCAACATGTCTGAAAAATGCTTTAAACACCACAGAGACAAAACACCTAGACCAGGAACACTTTCACTGTATTTACAGGCATTAAGCATTAATGTGAATTCCCACATGTATATGTGCAGATATATATATATATATATATATATATATATATATATATATATATATATATATATATATATATATATTTATTTGAGCCTTGCTCAGGAATGGGGTGGAAAAAAAGTACACTCTTTATTCTTAGATACCAGATCATCTATCTGCATTGTGGTAAGATGGCATTCCAATCTCTTTTATCTGTAACAATTGTCACCTCACAGGAGTGGGGGATTCAAATGTCTAAATTCAGGAGCAACACTTGGACATAAATAAATCACTACAAATAAACTCTATACATGGTCCACAGATTAAAATCCATGATTGGTTTTGACATTTGTAAACATGCTACAACAGTTCTGCCTTTATATCTTCCCTTAGACCAAGAAATGATAATATTGAAACAAAAACTCCCATGCATATATTTACAGAGGAACAACAATGACAATTCTCAGACCTGACATGATGTGCAGTTATTAATGTAAACAAAAACATTTAAAATCTTTAATTTTGTTAACACATACAGAAAGTATGAAAACAAGTTACAGCAAGTGTGGCCAAACAATGACTGTTATCAAAACTTTCAGCTATTATGAAGGAATAAAGCGGAAACTGAATGAAATACTAAATGTCATATAACACTTTTTCTATATACAAAGACACTCCAATCTTTGCCACAAAAGCCAAGGCTCTAATGCAGGTACCATATACCAGCTGCCATATACCCAGTATAAGGAATGTCTGCATTTGCAGACAGTGGCACATGTCAGATTCTAAGTCAAAAAGAGCACAATTAAGGCATACTTAATGGGATAACAGTCCAGGTACTACAGTAGTAAAAATGTGATAAAAGGAAAAAGTATCATTTTCTGCCATGTGTAGTAGTACAGTAGTAAGCGAAGAATGCAATTATTACACCATCCATAAGGCTATGATGTTAATCACAGGTGCTGTATGCATTGAGCATCTTCTCTTTATATCCATAACTGCTGTTAGATCTGTGTGTCTCACATTAATTAGCCACATCGGGTTTCCCTTTTCATTTAAGATGATGTATTACAAGCTTAATCTAGTTAGATGAGGTAGAGGATCCCATCCCATTTATTTTACTCTTCAAAATAAACACTACTAATCCATTTTCCAACAAGCTTGCTCTGGTCCTGTCCGCAGTTTAATCCACCTTATCTGGGGGCTATCACTCATATCTAGCTATATTACAATGTTGTCAAACATTCCTCCTTCCTTCCCCTCCCTTCAGCTGGGTGCCCAAACCATTGGGGAGAATTCAAATCAAACTATCTAACTGGGGAGAGCAATTTATAACTTCATGAAATAACGTGATAGAAACAATTACTTTCTAAACACTCCTTTCTATGCAAACTTAACCACACAGAACGGACTATGATAAAAGTAATTACACTTTAAACACTTTTGTACTGAAATATTGCGTGAAACAATGAGTTAATTCTGGTGCTATCCTATTTTTACGTATTCTCATTTTTCCCACTATCATTATGAAGCTGTTTAAAATCCACACAGCAAGTTTTTTGTTCATCTTTTATTCAGCAATGCATACCAATCCTTTCTGCTTCACTAATAATCGCCACAAACCACATCAATTAAACACTCATTAGTGTTTCCCAGAAGCTGTTTTTCTAGTCACTTAAAATTACAGGTTCATCTGTAAGACATAAATCTAGGCACACACACACACTGGGGGAAATATGGAGAAAACTCACCTAGAAGTCCCAACAAGCAAGGTCATCTCTACTGGATCAGCTGTGACCCAGTAAAACTGTCTGGCAACTTGGAATTTGAGTAGACAATCCAATAGTACTTACATGTTTAATTTATCAGACTGTGTGCAGAGACTGAATCTGTCAGCGACACCAGTCTTTGGCCTGAGACAAAAGTGAGGGTGTAGCTGGGAGCACACAGGTGTGAAAATGAGCTTTCTCATATTCCCCAGACAGATCTAGGCTGTTAGAGAAGGCACTTTTTCTGCCCTTTCAAACCTAATCATGTTGATCTTAGATTAATTGTCGAGTCAAATTAGGAATGGGAGTTTCAATTTGATGAGTGATACCAATGCACCACCCAACAGCAAGGGAGCAAAGCAAATAGCCTCAACTACTTTAGGATAAAAAAACAACACCCAAATCTTACCAGACCCTGGCAGGTTGCTACGGCAACTTTCGACCCAATGTGTCCTTTGATATTCCCGATGAAATGACACTTGTTGAATCCATATCGCTGGACTTTAGAATCGCTGACGTTCCCAAACTTGCCGTTCCGCCTCTCAACCACCATTCCAGGTGCAAAGAGTTTGTGATTGGGTGTTAACTGAAGGTGCAGTTTGTGTTCTCCCACTTGGACATGGTAATGAATTTGTTCCTCCTCTTCGCTTTCTATACTCCGTTTGTGCACACTTGTGTCAAATCGTTCATGGTGAAGGGAGTGTGTCAAGAATTCACCCTCCTTGGTGACCCGAAGTGGGATTGAAATTTCATAGCTGTCGAGTTTGCTGACAAATTCAGCTGCAAGAAAAAATAATAAAATGATTTAGTACATGAATGCAACAGTGTGAAATGGCACCAATGTTCAGAATAATGAAGGATTTGATTAATACAAATTAAGAAGTTTGTATGCTATTAGAAATAATAACAAGTGAGTGAAATAATAAAGTCTGAAAAACAGGAAAGTGGATAACCAACTGTTCAATTCGTGCAAAGTATTAGTAAAAGACATTTTAAATGAAGCCATAACTTTTTGATAACAGAAAGATGGTGCAGAAAGCAGCTGCCATTAAGTATTAGGCGCACTTGGCAAAACAAACCACAGAGATGGAAAAATACATTTCATGCATAATGATGGCTGGATTAGACATAGCACATTCAAATCTGCCAGATATCAAATACATGTGGTCTTGATATTTGAATATACTATACGTAATCTTCAAACTTGACTCTGCTGTGAATAGTATGAAGCCAGCTTGACTGTGGTTTTAGCATCTAAAGCTTAGCTTAAAGTAAAGCGTGTCGGCTTTTCTACAGAAGGTGTTAATGTGCCATATGTTGTAAGTGATTACTAAAATGTTAATCTCACATAACAGAAGCCATGTTTTTAAAGCAATTCAGGCGATGAATTGTGTTCAACCTGATATTCTAAAAGAAAAATACTTAAGTTGAATAAAACATGCCATTTAAAAAATCACACCTGACAAAATGTATTAATGGTAGGGTGGAGCTTTGCTTACAAAATAACAAGATAACTTAAACACCTTTTAACACCTGTATTTTCCACAAGCATGGCTTTACAGGGATCAGTGCACGAGTACAGTTAAAAAAGTTTAGGAGATAAGTCACCGTCTCTTTGATCTCTCAGTACTAGTATTACAATTGCATGGTTGGGTGTACAGCAGGTGCCTCACTGGTCCTAACGGCCTGTTAGTACAACACAACATAAATCACAGCCAGTACCACATAACAAAAAGTTGGGTACTGTTACGCCGTGGTGTCGAACTGATTATAGTAAAGTCGTATTAAAAGTTAACAAGCACTCATGCTATGAATTTAATAATGAAATGTGTTTGCAGAGGCAAGCTGACAGCACTTACGGTAGAAAACCCTGTCTAGACTTTCATTGTAAAAAATTGTAAACAAACGAGGACATGTATATATTAATAGTAGCATGTAGAGCCCCTTTACAAACCCTGTCTATGATCGGAAAATTCTGTCAGCCGGTGACTGTCCAACGTCTTAAACTGGCTAGCTAGTACAACCAGTGAATACAAGAGAAAGTGCACTGTGCAGTCTACTGGCGGAGTTCTCATGTTCCTAGACTTTCCGTCCCGTCAAGTCTGTACACGGATCGCTTCCGTCACTGAGGCAGTCATAAACTGCGGTTATAGCATTAAGGGGCTTCCGTGTATGTAAGGTGCCTCGGTGTACCGTGCCGCAATGAATAACTGAGGTTCTCCTTATTTCTCCCTTCTATGAGCGAAAGCCGGTATGCATATCACAGGTCTGATTGAGCAAAGTAACTGAATGTCCACACCGGCAGTCTGCACGTTTTTACCGACTCGTGTCTGTTTCACTGTCTGACTAGCCCCAGACCTCCCAGCGAATGAAAGTTCGCGCTACCAAATTGGGCACTACCACTACCACAGGGGCGACGGGTTGGAGGATATATTTCAACTACATTGTCTGCGACACAAAATCGGGTTACCAAATGTCACAAGGTAAAAGATCAATCCCCCGGCATGATAAATGAAAGCTTAAATTGCATTAACTTGAGTCGTCTGATAGCTTTTCAATCAAAATGAGGAGCGCGCAGACCCGGTCTACCTTAGGATCTTCCACTATTAAAGGGTCCATTTACAACATGTCCATTTGTTTAGGTTGGAATAGCGGTCCATGTGTAAGCGCGGTCCCATTTATGTTTAATTGCTTAATTACTAACCTCAGCATGCAATCAAACCCAATGTAAAGGGGCTCCAAAGGGTGGAACTCATTACCCCCCCCCCCCTCAACACACACACTCACACAGACAGACAAAAAAGTCGCCCCGTCACCTCAACTTCCAGCGTAGGCCTACCTTGTTAGTAAAGTCGTCGCGGTCTTTTTTTATACATTAAGTCAGTTTCCTTTCGTGGTGAGATATATGTTAACATGCAATGCTAGTGATTCAACACAAGAAGGATTAATTTCAAGTACGTCGAGAGGGCAATTGCAATTTAATTGATATGGGTATTATTGCAAATGAATTGATGGATACATTATGCGACCGTCTAATCAGCAACAGCAATTTTACGATATCGGATTAAATCAAAGCCTAAAACGAGCCATTTCAGATGAGAACTTAAACAAGCAAATGAAACAAATAAAACAGTTCTAATAAATAAAAAATATATAAAGATGAAAAAATGGAGTCAGAGCACCCGCTCTACCTCTGACCCCTTCTGTCTGCTCTTTTGACGCACTTGACTGGATTTCAGAACAACTTTCGATGCAAAAAATGTATTTACTTTTGAATTTACCAATAAGCTGACCTATCCCAAATTTATCAAATTCCGTCGGATAACCCTTAAAGTGGCCCTCTAGTTTCTTATGACGTACTCGCGGACACATCAGCATCCAACTCACGGTGCAGACATGTACACGGTCTTGTGCGTTTTGGGATTCTGAACAAAACCGAAGGCAAATAGTTCTCATTTGTACTACCTGTGAACATCAAATTTCTATTAATACGTTTAGCTCTCGATATGAACAAAATCTTTCAGATACAATAGGGGATAAAAATAAAGAAATGATTAATGTAAACAAAAGTAAGGTGTATTGTTCTCTTAGCTGTCAACGTAAGATTGTTCGCAGTATTTTGACAATCAATTCGACACCTAAATGTGGGGATCGGCACCCGCAGGGAATACCGCTCTTTACTGATTAAGCCCTAACACGGCAATATGTCACCCGCTTGAACGCCGGAAGATTGTCAAGTATAATCTACCAGATTACTCGACGTGGACGACTGCGTTTACTGAACTTGGCAAAGTGCCAATACGTACTTTTTTACTGCACCATGGAGATGCGTATTCTTGAAATTATGAAATGCGTTTGTCATACTTATTAGCAGATTTACTCAAATTACAAGTGTTTTTCGTCTGGTTTATTCTATCAATTTGGTTGTTTGGTGGAGGGTGGGGTGCAGTTAACATAAAGATGTAACATTAGATAGGCTTATTATACAAAGATGTTATTTATCAACCACCGTGAACTCCGATGAACACTTTTTAATATCCCGTAGAAATAATGATTTTTTGTCTGGTAAACAACCCAACATTACAGGTTTTGTATCTGGTGAACTTACAGGTAGGCTATAAGCCCCCGCATCGACACACCGGTATTAACCTAGAAGTTTGTCGCGTACTTGTCACCCTCTTGCATTTCCTATTGCTCTAACCTTAGAGGCGACAGTCTTGACGGTAACAGCTTTGGAATGAATACAACGCCCCCTTCGCGTCTTCATTTAAGGCCGCACTCAACTGCGTTTTAACTGAACCCGCTTTAAAATCGACACCAGAAAGCTGACGATTTGGTTGCAACGTATACACGTACGTCTCGGTTACGATGGGAAGCCTGTTCGTACACAATCGTACTTGCAAGTTTCTAGTGGTATTTTCTGAAACAAGTTTGCAAAATGTCAAGTCTAGAATAGTGTTGGCCAAGGCTTTCTCTCATTAGTACTCTGCACTAGCCGCAGATAGAAAGAAGTGGGTGGTTCCCAACGTCCCTGCCTGACAGAAAAACCTATGCACAGTATCTAAGCGCTTTGGAATCATTACTATTATAGGAACTAATGAGTAACAATCTGATGAATCACTGTAACGTGATGGTAGAAAGGTGGAGACTTTTGATTATCATTGCTCATAGACTTAAAAACATTTTCGTTTTCTTTTTAATTAACATACATGTGACCAAAGGTTATTCTAAGTACACAAACGACCCCTTTATAAAATTGTTTGTAACATGCATGTGACCAAATGATATTTAAAATACACAAAACTAACTTTCTTATTATTAGAAAATCTAATTTATTCAAGAATCATGTACACTGTTACAGTTCAGAAAATGAAAAGACAGTTGACTGTATAATCATATGCTGGATCTGTGAAGAGAATTTACACAAAATACATCTATGTACATTCATAATAATTAATCAATGTTTTAAATAAGAGCATATTGTAAGAGATAAGATAAATATAATTACCAAAATCATTGTATACTCTGCAGTTAAAGTACATGTAAAACTGAAGTTTGTGACAATTCTTGAAGATTACAAGAAGGCCTTCAAACTGCTGAATTAAGAAATTACATATTTAGCATAGTGTCAATTTATTCAAAGAACCAATGATTCTGGGAATGCAGTAATAGTCACCTTAATCAAAAAGCACCATAATTTTTCATTGCTTTCAATAAGCAGCAAATCTATCATTAATGTTTAAATGCAAATACCTTTAAATATATTTACTTTGATATTGCGGGAGCCTAATCTTCACCTTACAGTGTTTGAATTGAAAAAATACCCAAACAACCCCATTTTGTTAGCATACCATCCTTAAATGACATATGATCAAAAGAGATTAAACGTGGGGACTAAAGAAAACTAATTCATAGCAACTGCCTTGTTCTTGGGATTACCATGGGCAAACTTTCAGATTAGAGAAAGACAAGGGTCTTATACCAGTCATTCAAAATTGTTCTGATGGTAAGAGAACAACTCCTCAAGATAAGAATATTTGGGTTTATCACTTGCCCAATGCAAATGCCCCCCTGACACTTACAATCTTAATGAGCGATAGCAACAAACTGGTAAAGAAAATATCACACCTCTGCAAGTGATAAAGTCTTATCAGTCAAAATGAATAATTTGCAAAAATGTCAATCACTGAGAAGATATAGTACCGAAAAAACCACACAGTGAAGAAATGCCAATATTTTCCGACCCACATCAATGATGTATTCTTGAGGTGCAGCTGCTATAATGTTAACTTTGCCAGATTATGTAGAAAAGATGGGACTGGATGTCAGTTTCTTGATGTCAAGGCCATCAGCTGAGGTAGGAGATCAAACTATTTGCTGAAAGTAATCATAAAGCATAAGATGCACATACAATGCACTCAAAAGTATTCCACTGATTTTCCTACATTTGAGTAAATAATGCATGAAACCTAATATATAGTAATTGTTATCATCTCTCTCTCAATCATGCAGACAATGCATTTGTCTAGTTCCCTGATCTAAATTCCATGTTTTCTCTATAACCGGTATTACCAATATGAGCCTAGAAATTGTACGTCTCTTCCTTTCACTAATACAATGTAAATTTACAGGTTTACGTGGCTCCTTTCTTAAATACTGTTATCCATTCCAGCAATTAAACTGCCAGTTCAGTAAAGTCTTCTGAATGCAAACATCTGAAGAATAACTCAATCTAAATTGAAGATTAAGACAGATGATAAAAGTTGTAGCATCTAAATATAGAAAATAACTGCAAGAAAATGAAGTCATTTATCAGTAACTTAATAAGCATTAACTATACTGAAAATATTCAATGTCTCTTTTATTTCATTTGACAGTGACACAATTTTAGATTTTCAGTTCCAAAGAGAAAAAAATCCCTGCATGTTAAACGATAATCACAGATGCATTGTTTTATGAAGTGTACACTGTTGAAATTCTTTTCTGTAGGATTGCAGGCTCCACAGACATCAGAATGTTAGGTTCTTAAAAAGGCTTCTGCTGCTCAAGTGAAATCAATGTATTCTCATATTTGTACAATCATCCCAGGTCTGTCCTGCAGAGTTGATCAATTGTAACCTGTAGCAAAGTTGTGAGACTAAAATATGTGAAGTACCGAAGCCTTATTAGGTTCTGAAGCTCCATAGGCAATGAATATATTGACTCTCCTCCCCTTTCCATTTCATACTACAGTCATCATGATTCTCAAAGCTCTAGGTGGCACTGGAGTAGTAATAGAAGCAGTAGTAGTGGTAGTATTCACAGAATCTGCCTCCGAGTTGCACATTTATCTCATTGCACCATCAATCCTAAAAGTAAAGAGAAAGATCATTTATAATTTATGGAAAAAAGTATTGAGTTGTTTAATATGTGATTCCATTAGAAGAAGAAAGAAATGGTTGGGTCTTAAATCACTAGTAATCATGCATTTGCTTTTTTTTTCCTATCAAAACTTTCTAACCACTGTATTGGTCTTCAGATACCAAATCCTCACACACTTGAAGTCCATCTTTTGAAGTTGATGCTTTTCCCCCCTTTAAGTGGAAAATGCTGTTTCTATATTTTTCTAAGCACTCTAAAATGATGTAACTGCTCAAGTTCAACCACAAAATTCAAAAACACCAAGAACTGGGGAGACTGCTGCTCACAGTAATTGAATTTTTGGCAAGAGAACTTTACCTGCTCAATTTTTTTGGGCTGATAGAACAATAAAGGAAAGGTGCCATTGATTCCAGTTTTTAAAGAGCTACCAATAAATGTCTGCTCACTATCAGTACCTATGCCCATTCTACTTGACTAACGGGTGGTCTTAAGGTAGGCAAATTACTTCTACCAAAAAGTGACGAGGATTAACTGTCTCTGGAACACAGAAGGTGCAGAACACAAAGTGTGCCTTGAACTATCCGAAAACATATTGTGAAAAAACCACCCCCTATGTATCTCCAATGTCATAATAAATCATTCACATCAAAGTTTTTTGAAGCTCAGGTCTACACTTTTTTCTTTAAGGAAACCTTGTAAATGTGCCCGCCTCTTTACAGAAGATCAACAAAAACTGGTTCAAAGGACAATGCCTCAAAATTGGGATAAAAAATTCTCGACTACCAAGTTTGTTTTAAAGGTCTCGGTCTTACATTTATTGAAAAAAATCTTGTAAACCTGCCCGAGTCTTGACAAAACAATCAACAATTACAGGTTCAAATGACAAAGCTTCATATTTGGATAATAAAAGTTGCTCAACTACATGTTTGGCTTAGTTTACTACAACACAGAAGTATTGTATGCACAACATGAAGAGGAAAATGCAAGATGGGTTAAGATTCTGCGACAGCCCGAAGCACAGAGAGAACACACAATCTAAGCTCTAGCAGTCTAATTTTTAACTTGAGCAAAACTGAGATAACCTTCCCGACTGTCAACTTCTTGTAGACAAATGATGTGTGCAATATGAGTGCTTAGGTCTGTATACTCCAATCAGTAAAATAAAAAAGGTACTTTTATATAAAATAACCTTTCACACCATTTCATATGAAGTTACAAAAGAACTTAGCATGGCAGATATCCATTAATAAAACTCTTTCCACCGACTGAACATCACCATTTCAAAAACTGATGACTTTTGACTTTCAGCAATTATTTCAGGAATCAAAAGCTAGTTCTCCAAATTTGAACCAGAGCAAAATTGATTGTACTTAACAAGCTTCCCAGACCACATCACTCAGAAAGATGAAAGGTAGAGCACAAGGAAGGAATAGACGGAACCTAATCAGGCCTTCCTGCTAATTAATTCCTGGTACAAGATGCACTGAGTGAGGTTCACAGGGCCTATCACTTTTCACAACACTGCTAATGAGCACCATGGAAGCTCCCAGGTTACTGACCTCAGGAAGCACTATTTTCTTTTCCTGATAATTTGTTATCAAGTGCAAATGGTGCAACTTGGCAGACACCCAGGTAACTGCAGACACCAGGTAAAAGGCATGCACGCACATGTTAATGTGTTAGCACATGTGCAAGTAAGACTTCAAATGTACAGAGAAAATAACAAGGCAACGACAAGGGAGGGGGTTCTCCCTAGAAATGCTGCTCTCTTCTGTATGCACTTTGTTTGAGCTCCTTGGAAATTGCTTGAAATACACCCCAGACTATGAACAATGACAAGACAAGAAGGCAGATTTACCAGAAAAGATTTTGGTATCAGCATTCTAGCTGAACATATTTACCTGTAAAGAGTGGCAATGGTAAAAGAAAGAGATCTCAACTTCTACTGCTTGCAGTATTTACTTGTCGTGATTGTTAGATTACTCTTGGCGACATGACTCAGGTTTTGAGGTGTATTATCAACCTTATCCTACAACTGAATCATCCATCAGTCGCCACCTAAAATATTGAAAGGCAATGGGATTTGAACATCTATGCCTCAAACCAAATAGAAAAAAAATTTTGTTCAAAAAAAAGTATACTCTGACTTACAGTAAATAAACTGCTAGAAAATCATCAAAAATAGCACACTCACAAGTTGCACTTATTATATCAAATATAAAGTGTATCAGAAAGGCAAATTGCAACTTTAAGGTGAGGAGTATAACCACAAAAGAGTATCTGAACTATTTCCTGAATTTTTTTCATTCTTCCTTTCCTGTTATTAAGTTTCCACTTCCATAATGGATATTCATCAAAATGCAGACTACAAAAACAAAGCTTCATTAACAAATTGAACGTCAGCTGGTGCTCAATACTGGAAAGTCCCTCTTTAACTTTCCTGATCACAATATTGAAACTTTGGTGAAAAAAAACTAAGATCTTTATTCAGATATCAAATAATCAAATGGCAGTTTATTTTTACAATTGGTTTAAAGATGCATCAAATGTTACCTCAAATAACAGCAACAATTTGCGTCAGTGATTAAAATAAGAAAAGATCCACTACTATGATTAATTATTGTGCCAGACACTGTCAACAAAAAAGAGTAAGCAGTAAATAAAATCTATACAGTAATAATATGCTTGTATGTGTTGACCAATTCATTATGGTGACACGTCGAAGAATGGAAGGCATGTGCATGCTTTCATCAAAGAGCACTACAGTCTGTAACATAAGCATCTCCTGAACTTTTAGTGAAAAAGTTTAATAAAAGATAAAACATTTTCTTTTCATTTCAAATGTCATAATTCTGATATATTAAGCAGAATAACAGACCAAAATCTGAACTCAGCTGAACTGAATCAAGAGGCCAGTGCGGTAACACCAGCCTGGGGTACCTATGGGTTGCCTACTTGTATTGCAGCTTAATGGCAGTGTAATTCATCAATACCCACAGCTGAATGAAACATAGTAGTCAACTAGGCCTAAACAATTTTATCCAAATTGGAGTGTGCCTTGGGGTCACAGGTTCTTTAATAGCTCTGCACCCAATGTGAATTCTCCTCTCTAATTACATTACCCATGGATGCAGCTGATTACAAAAATCTTTCAAAATATTTTTTGATAATCAAAGAATATAAAAATTATATACATCACAACTCTGTATAAAATATTGTATAAAAATTCAATTTAGTAAAAAAAAAAGTCAGAGGAAATGAACGATATCAAGACGTGCTATGCCCTTAAAAATTTTTTTTTCTAAATTCTCAACATAATATACCAAATCAAAGAGAGACAGACACACCCAATTCAACGATTGTAAAAGAGACACCAAAGAACCCCCTTCCTTCTGATGAACTCTCACTAGAGTGCTTCAGATTACCAGGAAGAAGCAAAAACTACACCATTATCATGTCTGTACTTCAACCTGGCTCCTCAAACTATGTGGCAAATTGAGTCAATATTAAAATAAGAACCTGATCACACATTAAGTACACCAGAGTATGAATTTACATTAAACATGTAACATCATAGAAAACAATCAAAAGTCAATTTTAGAAGGTTTACTAAAGATAAATCCTTCTGCAAAAAAGATCTAAAGGATTTGAATGAAGGCTTCGAGGTTCATTTAAGGACAAGGATTCCTATGAAATAAACATGCTGCAGATGCAAGGAAGAAGCCATTGTCACCTGAACTTATAACAAAATTTGATAAACTTGATTAATATTGCCTCTTAGTATCTTAATAAGAATCTTGATTTCTAGATTGCCTGAGATGCCCCCAATCCTCATATAAACTGTATGCAAAGTTTTCTTATTGCTAAACAGTAGTGACAAACCAAACTCACACCTCGATGAAGATTCCTTTTTTTAGCACCTAGACCAGGTGAACCCAATGAGTCTTCCACATGTGGCCCTATCTATTTAGTTGATCTTGGCAAACTTCAAGCAATTCTAACTCATGAGGAAACAACAACAAAGTTGTGGAAGAAGACCTTTAACTGGACATCATGCTCCCCCAAATATAAATTGCTTCTCTTGGCAAAGCTGACCAAAAGAAATTGGCTCCTCTTGTTGCTTTACCTCCACTGGTAAATTTCTGTGGTATTACTATCTATACAAAGTGCACTATCCTAGACAAAAAGACATTCTATCTTAAAGCCCACTCTGTCCCATCATCCTAGTTCATTTCGCTTTCAAATGCACAAAAATTCAAGGGATATCATATGAGCAGCAACTCAGTAAGGAAGTAGAAATATCCCCCCCCTTTTTTCCCAATCATGCCATTTTTACATCAGATTTGCACAACTTTCAGTGCTGACCATTTAAAATTCCTGTGTCTTACATTTGGCAAATCAAACTTCCAAATACTCTATTTAACCATTAACTGCTTTTAGAAAAGTACCCTTTCCTTTCAACTAATTAATTAAAAGAAACAAATAGAGGAAATGTTCTGAAGTGTGTGGTCTTCAAAAAACTATATACACTTAGTTTGCTTTCAAAAAGAAAGCCAAATTCAATTACTTTGCTTGCTTAATTTGAGTTCTGGATTTGAAAAAGTGAAGTGCATATAGTAATCCACTGGTCTGTCTGGCTTTAATCAGGTTACTTCCAAGAATAAGGCCAGAACCAGTACAGATCTGAGGTCAGATCTGAAGTCTTTAAAACAAATTATTAATTTTTCCACAGATAAAACACATTGTATATTAAGAGACCTTAATCTTTTAAATACTGATCTGCTGAATTTAACTTTCAGTCAAAAATAAACTCACCTTATTATAGGATTTCGAAACATTTAGAAATATATCACACTTTGGTCCTTCTTTCCTGCAGACTGAGGAGAAGACATGGACTGACTCCTCTCTTTACTGTCACTTCTACTCCTCTCAGCCAGCTTCATAGGCAGCATCCCGCCTCCCCCAGAGCTGTTATGCTTTAAACTGGCACTCTTATTCGACTGACTGTTGTGAGAGCTGGGCTGACTACTACTTGAGCTGCTAGCCAGTTTTTTAGGAATAATTCCACTGAAAGATGGAGAGCTGTTGCTGCTTCCAAGTTTGTGAGGAAACTGCTGTTTTAAGGCAGCACCTTGCAGTTTCTGTTCATTGGTGGCACTCACTAGATGTATAGGCAAGTTTTCCCTAGTGTCTCTCTTACTTATACCTAAACTAGGCATGGTGTCTGCCCGTCTGTTTTGACCCTCAAACACATGGTGTGATATGCGCCGATCATCTGAACGCGTTTTGCGATTTAAAGGTTCTTGTAAACTCCTAGCATATTCCTCTTTCATTGGCTCGAAAGCTTCACCCTCTGTTGCACGTTTATCATTTGAATCTTTATTCCAATCTGCTGAAGCTGAACGCCTATGACTGATAACCAAACCCTGTGGGCTTAAACGTGTTGGATCCAAGGAATTATTTTCCTTTCCTGTAGTGGAAAACTTGTCATTTTTTACACTTGTAGAGTTGACATCTTTTAATCCACTTTTTATCATATTTCCAGAAGAGAGTTGCTTTTGTAGTTGTTGTTGCTGCTGTTGTAATTGTAACAGTTGCTGTTGCTCCTTCTGCTGTTCTTGCTGTATTTGTTGCTGACGCTGTTCAAACAAGTCAATCTGTCTTTGGAAAGCAGCTCTCTGCCTTTTTAATTCTTCTCTCTGTTGCTCCATCTCAGCCTTGAAAATGAATAGGAATCAACTGAGATGCCTTGTAACAATCTCTCTGCACTTAGCCTGCTCCTACTAACTACAGTATATGAAAATTTCTACTAATTACACTTTAACTTTAGCCAAAAGGCCGAGAAGCAAACATATTTTTGGCATGACAGTTTACACTTGAAAATTTAAAAGCAACTATAAAACCCACACTTTTCAGAAAAAGATAGGATCAGATTTACCAAATTCATCACAAGGCAAAAAAAAAAGTATCAAAAATATGATCACGTTTAAAAAAGGAAAACAAAAGAAGAAAACTGCCCCAGTCTACCTGTTGTTTCTCTATATCTTTCCTGTGTTCTTCCACAGTCTCTCTCTCTGCCTCCAGTCGCATCCTCTCCCTTTCCTTGGTCTTCTCCCAATCTGTTCTCTCAGTGTTAATGGAACTCTGAAACATGGCAAATGATGTCAAACAATCATATTTCAATTAACATATTAACACAATATCACAGACAGGTTTTAAAAAATCTGTGAAATTCATTGTGTGACAAAACACATAATCTCATGAACCATCAGAATTAAATTTAGAATCTTGGAATTCCATGATTCTAAGGAAAAAAGCTTATGTCTGACATAAAACTAGATTTGACTTATTTGGGTTGACATTCATTTCACAGGCAAAGACTACTTTAAATAAGAAATTTAATGAGCTTGCATCATCAATAAAAACTGATTTATCAGGTATCTAGATGTCTGAGGAGAATTGAGTTAGATGTCTGAACAGATCTTAAATTAACTGAAAGAAATTGGTAGTTGACAATTACATGTAAACTGCCTATATTTATCCAAGGGTGCAATTTTTTACTTAAAGAATAAAAAAAATTGATAAACTAGTTAAAAAGTTTAAAGAGATGCAATCTCAGGAATCAGCTGGGATTGCCTGTTGTATACCTGGAGTCGACGTAGTTCTTCCAGTTGTTGGTTATGTCGAAAGGTTCCTTTCCTCTCCTGGTACTGCTTGGTCTCTGCCGTCAATTTCTCCACTTTTTCATTAGACTCCACAAGGTGAGCTTTGCATCTGAAGAGATCAATCAAAATTGTTACTTAATAGGTCTGATTGTAAAACCAATAGACATGTAAAGCACAGTGATAGAAACTAAAAGTAAACATCTCCTAGCATTTTAACTTTTGGATACACTTGTGTGTATTTGGTGGGTGGGGTTTTGATAGGGTTGTCATCAAACTCTTTTGTAATTTCAACATTTTAATTTGCAATAAAACTACATGACAATTTTCAATGGATATTATTTTACAGTAAAGATATCATATTATGGAGTAAGTAACCAATCGTCTCCAAGTTACCTACAAAAACAGGTTACAATTACAAATGAAGTCTACAGCCTCTAGTAGCATCCACATTAAATTGTCACCCTTTACTCAAATTTTGGTAAATAAGGACATGTTAATGGGTTTTTAAAACGCCCTTAACATATCTTAATGGCCATTTTCTCTCCTTTAGACATGGCTTGATCAAAGGCAAGAATGCATCAGTCTATGGTGTTATGTGATGTTGCATGGACAAAATCAAAGTAAGCCCAGGAATGTCACAGTGTCCCCATGTTTATAAAGCTTGCAGACAAACTTAAAGCCACAAAAATCTTAAAAGACAGAACACTTAGTCCCTGCAAAAGAGAAGACTCCAGGGGAATAACAAACATTCTTCCACTAAGGAATGCTGGATAGAACAACAAGACTCTGCAAGCAATAAAAAAAAAAAGTTTCGAGTTTGAGGGGGTAATAATACATAACAATCTGCCAACTTTTCTTGTGCAGCCAGGTAGCGGTAGACTTACACACAGGAAGGGCACATCACAAGGTTAAACACGCGACCACTTAGTCTAGTCTTTTGTAGAAAGAGGCATGAAATTATGCAACACAACACTCAAAGATTTTGTTCAAAATTGCTCATGCCTGCTACACTTGGTCTACTGTTCTGGATCCGGTTGCCAATTTTGCTATCCCCTTTCTCTTAATAACTTATGCTGACAAGCACGATTTGTTGTCATCTTTTATAAGCGAGTTAAACAGAACCAACCTCAGGTATCTGATATGCTGAGGCAGACTCCTCAGGTTCAGGCTTGGGTCATTTGAGGCATGAAATGCCACACCAAATGTAGAGTATACTTGTTAATTATGAATGGATATGACCAACCATCCATCAATCATAAACAAATAGAACAGGAGTAAGATATTAACGCTTTTGGTAGAGAGCAGAAAACAAGTTGAGCCAGGTAATGACTGTGATTTGAGAGATATGTTACGTGTTTTTTTGTGACATTCAGTGCAATTAGGGGGTTGAATAATGGCAATCAGAGCACAGGTTAACAACACCGGCTGTTGTATGTGGAGTTTCTCTTTACTCAGATTTCCATGACAAAAAAGAAAATACAGTAAGAACTAAATAGACCAAAAACTAGACTGTGAAGCTGGCTAATGTACAGAAACTTACTAGAAAAAAGTTATTTCCACAGCCCTTTTCCACATAAATTAAACACTGAAAAATTTTTCAAGTTTGCAATGTTTGCAGTGATCACTTCTGAATCATGAAAAGTATATTTCCGCCTTCCAAAACATTATTCATTTTTCACTTATCTTGATATTTTACACCAGTTCTCTATCTTAAACATGCATGTAAACACGACTTTTCATTTCACATTTCAATTCATGAAAATTGCAGCAACCACAGTTTCAAATAATTCACGTAACTGGAAGAGGTTACTTCACTGCCAATGAGAAGAGTACTTTCAGTCTTAGTTGAGTTGCAAACACAGCCTATGTAAGTCTGGTGATGTCAGTGAGAGTACTTTCAGTTTTAGTTAGTCCTGTTGTAAACACAGTCCATGGATAAGAGCCCCAGTGTGCATGTTCCATACAACCTATCTCAGTCCTGTCTTCATTAATATGCTGAGAAAACATCTCTCACAGTTCATCTTTTCAGTGACTACTGGATGAAATTTCAGCTCACTCCAAACACTGGCTCTATGAAGAACTGTGTTATGAAAGTCATACTTACAATAGCAGTCTAGACGAGAAAAGTTGTTAGATACAAGGGTGGCATTATTTTGCTCATATCAGAAGAGCAAAAAGGAAGGTAGCCCTACATTTTCCATACTCTTGTAAGTTTACTGAACAAAAAGGAGCTTGTATCTCTCAAACGACAGATCATGTTCCCCTACTGGGTCACCAACATAAAGAGAAAAAGACCTTATAGCCAAATATAAATATGAAACACAAAAGTTTACCCCCGTCTGGGAAAAAAAGGCAAAGTGAAAAGATTAGAGAAGATAAGTCTCTTAAAGAAACCATATCCTTGATTTGAAGTGAATTAAAGTGGGAAACAAAACATTGGAGTTCCAAATAGGTGTCAGAGTACCATTAATTTTTCTTGTCATACAGCGTAATTATTTTTCTCACTATTTACAAATGTGTTGTATTAGGGTCTCAGAGCCTGTAGCTATTGTTCAATCTCAACATGTCCCGCACAACTATAGACATTTATCTTATCAATAACAAAACAACCTCAGCAGAGTTTTTTCCCAAAAGGGGATCAAATGTTTCTCCAGCAGAGTGATGGAAACAAAGCTTGAACAGAATAGAAGAAGACAAAAAATCAGTATTTTAATGTCATTGAAACCTATGAAGAGCACCCTTTAAATCCAGACTTAATTTATCTTGGTAAAAAACAGATAAAAAAAGGCAAGACCAAAAAAAAAAAATCTTCCATGATACCTTGAGCTGGTTTTCTTTCTGAATGTAGATGAGAGGATCTCTGTTTGATCCTAAATCAGACACTTACAAAGGTTTTCCGCTTTCCACAAATTGAGTAAATGGTTTGAAAGAAGTTTCGCTGTTTCTTTAACAAGATTATCTCATTTTTTGTCCAAAATAAATATAACCATGCCAAATCCCCACAATCTTTTTACAATAATTCAATTTTGTTAACAGGTTAGACATTTTATAAATTTTGTTTATAACACCGCAGATACTTACCTCTCAAGTCTTGTATTCTGGTGGATTGATGCATGCTAAAAATATAAAAACATTAAATTTAATGCTGTTTTAAATAGGAATACATTGAATCATATTGCAAACAAAATACATATTGGTCTACACATGCAAGCACGCATGAACACACACACACACACACACACACACACACACACACACACACACACACACACACACACACACGAACCAAGCCAAGAACAATGCGCAGGTATTTTTTTTCAAAGAGAGGGAATTTTATCTTGATCATAAATCTGGATAAATGTTAAAAAGCAATTTTCTATTTTTGACCTTGATGAGTCAAAATGTCAAATCCCAAGGGCATCGCTGACTGAATGAATATGACATGCTACCTAACACATTATGAAATAATTACTTAGTCCTCTGCTAAATAATAAATAACTGTGACATTTGAATTCTGAATTTGAATTCATTGAACGGCTGTCTGTAAAATCAGCACAGACAGTACACAAGAAAACCGTCCACTTCAAATAGCAACCATGCACGTGAATTCTCAGATGTCAACAAAAAATGTCTTCAACTGATCACGGGACCATTCACTTTGGTGTGTAAGTATGATTATTTGTCCACAGTAACATCAAATGACACTTGTCATATATCAAGGTGACCTGTTTATTGCATGCCTGAGCTTTATTAGATAGTCACACTATCCGCATAGAGAGGCCGCCAGCCAGACACTTGGTCACCTGAAACAACTTTCTGTGACAGGTGAGCAGCGTGCTCTTTTGTCTGGGGGAGTCTGGACTGTAATGTACATCATCAGCATGTTAGTTCTAACTGCATGGAAATGTGGAATGGATATCAAAATAGTTTTGAATGGATTTTTTTTTGCCCTGAAAATAATTCTTTGCTAAAATGACTACATTTTCCATAAAATGAAATGCAGCATTTTTTCCTCATAGTTGGTATGTTTGAAGTAACTTCGAGGGCAACAAAGATTTTTTCCTAAATTTTGATGACAATGATTTACTTTTAATAAACAATTTGCAACAGCTTCCCCAAGATCTGAAAGCCATGCCTACATGTTCAGGCAAGCCTTATCCAGCATATATAGTTAACAGACATACCAAACACCACTATGTGCTTGCAATAATCATCCATATAAATCCTCCTACACAGAACTAGACAGACACAACTCATGCCTTATCAAGAAAAAAAAAAGAATTCACTTGAGAAAAGTACTTTTTATTTCACCTGTGGAATGTTAAACATGCAGACACCTTAGTCTGGCAGGTAACAAAGAGAGAGGGGTTTTAGAAACTCTACCAAGAGAGACTGGCTAAAATCTGACCATTGCTGATATTTTAATTTTATAAAGGCCTACAATTGCATGTAATGATACCTTTTGCAATGAAACTCTTCACAAAAACATTTTTTATCTTTTGAGTTAAATTTCCCATCATTGCCCATTAAAATAGTGTTCAATTCCAACCCAGAGGCCTAAAAACACAAATGCTTTCTATTTTCCAAAGTTGAACAACTTTGATCAAATTTCTTTTATCTCTCAGACATCTATAAGTCCCCCTCCAAATCTGTCAAAATAGACTCAATCTCAAATGTTATGTACCCACTGACTGAATATGGAAGGGTGTTTGATTTCAGATGACACAATAACAGATAGCTTCCACCTGTTTACTAAATGGAAAATGCCACTAAGTACTTCTAGAACATTTCTAAAACATCTCCATGTTGGAACTGGCCCTTTTTTCACAACTTCAAAATGCCGACATCTATGTAGACATTCTTTCCCCTGACCTAAAGACTAAGGATTTGTTTTAATAATTCTTGCATCATGTCAAAATGACAGAAGTTGCATAGTTTTCTTAACAGAAAGTTATGCTACATATATATCAATAGATTGTCACTTATTTCTCCAACTAAATACCATCCTCTCATCGTGATGATGTATTCAAATCTGTGCTCTTTGGGATGTTAAAAACATGCAGAAAATTTGACTTGTGCATAGTTTCTACAAACACCTGTCACTGTTTCATGTGATACTGAACATTTCAGAGTTTAGATACTCTTTACTTGTCACTTGATCATCTCAGCACAAATTCTTACAGCTCAAGTCTAAGAGCCATGTCAAGTGAGTCCAAATCTGGTGTTAATGCAAAATCACAGCCAAAAGCTAGAACTCAAATGTTCATGTGGGAAAATGGCTTGTTCAGGTGCCAAACAATGCAAATGGTCACTGGTAATTGACAGTTCTGTTGTTTTTTTCTGTTTATTTACCAACATGGGGAGTGCTGAGCCCCATGCTGACACCCACGTGTAAAAACTCCACTGACCACATCTGCCGTAGGATAGTGTTTGCCTTGAAATTCCACTATTACATGTCACCTGGGTTGGTTTGGTAGGTAGATAGGGAGGGGGGTTATCTGAGGATGTACAAACAGGTGCATTGGAATGGCTCCAATGGCACACTCACTGGTTACTACTATAGGTACTGTACTGTCTTTCTTTCTTTCTGTATTTTTGTTCTTGTTTATCTTCCTGAGATAAATGGGGCGACTTGTTTAAAAAAGTGACCAAGGTAGGAAATTTTTTCCTGACAAATTAACTTAACCCTGTTTAGGTTATCAATTGATCACCAATAACTACCCAAACAGGCACATTACTGTGTTTTCTTGTCAGGACAAAAAATAAGGCATCGTATTTCCAAGGATAAAAAAAAATCATAAGCAAACAAAACCAGTTTGATCCCTCCATGTGTCGTTGGTGAATTGCTTTCATCTGTACAGATGAGTTGTCTCTCTCAGAGTGGAGGGGTAACACAAACATGGCTCTTGAATTCTGAGCCTGCTGAGAACAATTTACTGATCCTTCATTTTGATAGTGGCCCAGACCAAACAATTGCCTTACATAATATATGTACTGCCAGAGCTGTATTCTAAAATAACTTGAGAGCCTACAGGCACGCAAATACAACATGAAACAGTCTGGGCTGTGATACTTAGGATAAGGTTGCAAGTGCTCTTTCAGGTTAATTTAAGAAAATCATTTTTACCTACATTTAACGGCTCCCTACCCCTGTCCAGAAAGTTATTTTTAACAAAACTATCATCTTTGTAACTTATATAACTTATAAATAATCTTTTTTCATTGTCACTCAAACTAGTTTGATAAGTAGGATATCAGATATTTCAGTCAGCCTAGTGTATCTAACAAATACATGCTACTTGATACTTGAAATGACATGAAATGAGGCGTCAAACATAAAATCTGCTGTAATTCAATTTGAAAGGAAAAAAACCCAGCAATTTTCTTAAATCAAATATCAGAATTTGTGCTCTTGACATGCTGCTGGTCACAAGAACTGGTACAATTTGCTGTAACACAATACAGACTGTTGACAGCTAGATCAAGGCCACATTTGAAAGGACCACAGTTTCAGCAATTAATGTAATGTCTACATACTGCCACTGTCACTGTGATGGATGTTTACATGGAACCTCTGCCACACCCACTTCAACAATCTGTAAACCCTAAAAACACCTTTAAAATAGAAAGATCCTTTGATATTTGATTTGGGAGAAAAAAAAAAAAAAAACGGTCTGGACTAAGACAGCATTTGTCCCCACTGACCCTGTCTGGCAAATGAGAAAGTCAACTGGAGAGCTAATATATTGTGATGTCTTCAACTAACTGGAAGATCTTGTGTAATGGCAAGTTCAACGGCAGCACCTGACTAATGAAAATGACTTCACTACTTTGCAAAGAATGACTGAGGACATACATGAGGAACAATATCATCAAAAATAATTTTTTAAAAAAATATTGTCCTATTTGACCATAATTTGCAGTTCAATTGATCTAAAGATTTTTTGCATGAAATGTCATTTTGTCGTAGCCATCTATGAACAGTTATAACAGTTTATATTCTTTTGAGAAAACCAGTTCCAATAACTTTTCAAAAAAAAAAAATTTTTTTTTAACCTTGCATGTTGCATCCATTTAGTAATACTTTTTTTAAATGCTATTAGTAGCTACTCATATTCCCTGCAATACTCCATTTCATGACATTAAATAATATGTTTTTGAAAATAAAATTATATTCTGTGCTCCACTGTTCCATTGTTTCATTTGCCATGAGCAGCTTCTTATGTCATGATTCAGATCTTTTCTCCACCCCAATTAACCACACTTGGCTGACTTCCAAGTCACGATGATACATTCAATACACCCAGTCTGTTAGCGCATGACATAATCCAACAATGTCATTTTTCAATTGCTGTCATTTTTTTCCTTTATATATTGTCATGTAGAACACATTTCTTTTGTTTGTGTTCATCTGCCAAATTGCAGCAATCAAGGCTTATTACCTTCACAAATATGACAAGGAAATGTTTCAGGTCTAAAACAGTTGACAATGGAAATGGGGTTCCCAGGAAGATAAAACCTATGAAAAACATATCATCATCAGGCAAAACTGTATCAGAAATGCTGTAAGCTGCATTAGTATTGGAATACATGGTGGGGTAGCCCTGTACTCCTGATAACATTCAAGGTGCTTTCTCTCTTGATATGACTACAAGCTGCATCATGTCACTGTCTGGAGAGAACTTTGTCCAAAATTTTTGTCATCAGTTTTAAAAGGGAGCAGGATTGGCCATGGGATTCTTGCCATGTAAACATTAAACATGAAAAACAAAGCAACCTTTCAAATAGTAAATGAAAAAAAATTAACTTGTAAGATTTAAAAAAAATTCAAGGACGTGGTAGAGCAGTATATAAAGGACCTTTGGATAACCTACAACTGAATTCGGTAAAGGACATACAGTTGATATAAACAATTGCAATTCACTTGTCACTTTCTAAGGATTCTGAGAAATAAACAACAGTTTACTTGTCAAAATGTCACAATCTCAAGTGTTCTTTTCCTGTTAAAATATATAAATCATTGTTTTTGAAAAGATTGCCCTTTCTTTCAGTTTATTGCACTCTTTGAAAGATACTCAAAACTACATTCTAGATTTTCAATTTAATTCTTGCTTTAATAGGTGCACGTTTACATCACAACCAATACTTCATTTTGTGATGATTTCTTTTAGACACTTGTTTATTCTATAATAACAAAGAGCTAATTTTAGGTAAAAACTACAACAATGGTTCAGAAATTGCTAAACAACAATAGCGACTCTTTCCATTGTTGACTTTCATTGCCAAAATCTTACTTTTTATTTCTGCCTTCTGTGGCTTCCAGGCAATGATTGTGAAGAGTGTAGATATACAGGCTGATGACAGACATGTAGTCCTAAATTGTGGGTATTAGTCAGTTGGAACAAAAATGAGCCAGCCAATGTGAAAACAATTGTCTTGTTAACCCAAACTGCTGGCCATTTTTTGCCACCTGGTGTGAGGAATATGGGTTAAAGTCTCATTTAGTAACATAGTTACGCCAGACAGCGATAATTGTCAAATAGCACAATTACACCATGTTACCCCATAGGGCCATGGAAATAAAAACGGCAGTTCATGTAATTTATTTCACTACTCCCAGTATGGTGTCTTATGTCGATGGTGGTTCGGATTGCACACCAAAGTACACATAGCTTACTTTGTATGTAGCAGCTTATTAAGTAAGAACAAATTCTGAACAATGGCCATATTTATCCTCTGTTACGCTGCATTTGGTCATTTGGTCTTCAGGCAGAACAGGACTTTTTTTCTTCTAAACTTAATCTTTAACATGGCAAAGATCAATCTTGAGTTACTTTGATCAAACTGTACCTCAAGTCTGACCAGCCTTGCAGGGTGCAATTAGTCCTGAAGAAACTGACAGATCTTACACAGCATTAGAACAAAACTCATGCTGAGTGGGGGAGAAGCCATTTCAGTACACTTGCATTGACATTTCCATTTCATATTTACATTGACATATTCATTTTGTGCCGTTCCACACCTTTATTTATCAAATTTTGCAAAATCTTTTATAAGGTTCACTTCATACATCTACAGCATAACTTTAGATCACCTCACACACACACACACACACACACACACACACACACACACACACACACACACACACACACACACACACACCAATCACAAACAAGTTAACATTATCTCCTCACCATGGCCTGTGCTAGATACCGCAGAATCTGCTCCAAGCAGGCCGCCTGCTCCCTCACAGGGGGTATTAGACTCACTGAGCTGATGGAGAACTCGCTGATAGACCCCAAGTCACTGGATTTGTCACTGTGTCGAACATCTGGGGAATCGTCCTTCTCAGCATTTCGCGTTGGCAAAAGCCCAGATAGGAACGTGCTCGTACGTTTTAATTTCTGAAGAGCAGGATCCTGGATAAAACAAGTTATGGAAATAAATAACGAATTCTGGATTTGCTTTTAAATTAGAAGTTAATGAGAATTCATTTATTTCATTAATGCAATCATTAAAAATTAAAATTGTCAAATTGTTGTGAAACAAAAGAGTAAAACTAAAAATATTTAAATAACTATTTGCATATTAAACCAAATACTTTAAACACATTTCGCAAAACTAATTCATCAAAATGTAAAAATAAATAAATGCAATATTTGACACTGATAAATTATGCTCAAGACCAATGGTGTCTTCCTATAGGTATTCATGCGCAGTTTGTGACATAGCATCAGCTTCTATTGTATTGTGTACAACAATGCAAAACTTAATGCTATAAGTGGTTATCTCACTCATGCACAGCTATAATAAGAACACTGAATAAGACACTTCACAGACATAGACAGTCACAGACACGGGTACTTTACAGGCACAAACATGTATGAGCAAATACTAAGACTGACTAATAAGTGACTATTTATTTCTTTAGCTCTATGATGCAATATTATAGTCTACCATATTTCAGATTTTAAGCCAATTTTACAGAAAACTGTTTATATCTATTGCTAGTTGCTATCATAACTCACCATGCAAATGTCAATAGTGACAAGTTCAGTTTCCTTCTATATATCTGTTTTAGGAATAGTGATGTTTCTTTTGTTAGACTACATGTAACTAGTATAAATTTGATTAAACAAAAGTTACTCAAGTCCCATGCTTAGACAGAAATAGAGTGTAACGCACCCTTTGGGGCCGATATACGCCCTCATGTGAAACCAAAATATTGCCACTACCTCTGCGAATAAGTTTCTGGAGAAAAAGTTGTTAGAGTTATAGGATTACCTGAAATCTTTATATTAGGAGACATGAAGGGAGAAAGAAATTTGAACAAGGAGTTTTCAATAATAAATCAAGATTTCTGGTTTGCTCTAAATTGGAAAAAATCACAAAGTCCCCCCAAAATTTTAATTCACCTTATCTTAATTAGGTTTCTCTTCTTAGATATTTCTAGCCATTTTTAGTTAATATGTGTTTCTAAAATGTGTCAGTTTTACTGTGTTAGCTGATAGACTTTGGGAGAAAAATTTGTCCAAAGCAAAGCTTTCAAGAAAGATGATGAAAATAATACTACTATCAAGAAGTTATTCAGCGCTCAGTATAAAGGGTGAAGAGACAAGACTGCCTACTCTTTTTTTTCTAGGTAAGTGCTTGTATCTGGGTAAGGTCAAAATTCCTTTCAATTGCAATGATATGTACCTTTATAACCAGATCACATTGCAATACCTCAATATAATCTTATCACCTTTATCCTCACAAAAAATAATGTCACAGCCTCAAAAATGACATGAATATAAATTGTTGTCCTCTAAACAGGATTCGTCTTGGTATCTCCACCCCCCTTCCCCTCAACACACACATACACACTTCTAAACTTTCTTGGTGCCAGAAATGACACCTAACATAAATCTTTGAACCACAATTTCAATAAAACTGCATATCATCTTTTTTTAAGAAATGAGTTCAACACAAAATTGCCAAAGTCAGGGAAGTTTGGAGTAACAGGATACCAGCACTATTGTAACAGTAAGCAAAGTTGTCTCTAATGTGGAACTTAGAAATACAAAAACTGTTATTATATTTAATTATACGGAAACTGTTGACAAGTAGTTTTCATAAGTATAAATCATATCATATTTAAGACTTATTAGATTGCACTTGGTAACAATTAGCTTGCAACTTGCATAATAAATTTTGGATTATTGCCAAGAATTGTCAAAGATGTGCCTTCTTAAAAGCATCAATCATGCTGGCTTTGTAACTTAAATTTTACCCCTCCAAATTTTCTGAAAATTTATCAAAAAATATCAAGGAGAATGGGGGAAAGGGGATTTCAAGTAGGACAAGTTGAAAAAACTTCAACACCATGTTTATCCAAACCATGAAAGGTCACTTGTCTTATTTTTTTGAACTTGACTAAATGCGTGCCATTTTTGACAGTTTGAAAATCACTTAATGGCACCCGATGATAAATATTGTTGAAGTTATACACCCTTTCAAATTCCAATTCAGGTGAATCATTCCAGCACTGCCATCTGCAGCACAACACTGTCAAGCTTATCAGTTGGAAATAAAAAATGAAAACTTCCAGAGCTGTGTCCATGTCTGTTTTTCTTGGCAACTGGCATTTTAAACTCAAATTGAGCCTAGGAAGAGTTATCGGTGCCTTCTTTAAAGCAATTTGGATTTTTTTCTTTTGTAAACTGTCTGTTGTTATCGTTGTTGTGGTTGATATAATTACAATGAATCAGAATCTCAGGACAGGATCAAATTAACTTCTTACAGTTCACTGTTACTGAGATTGCTACCATAACAATAGTTTTATCTTGTAACAGTATTGTATTCCACTTTGTTCTCAGAAATCTGAGATTTATTTAAACTGTACACAAACAATGCTTGACAACTCTAGCAACAACAAGTCACAGAGCTCAGTCAGGTTTGCAGGGAATCACTCACAGTTCTATCACAATAAAAGCAATATCAGTTTGTTTTGACAATTAAAGCACACCAATGCAAAGCTATCCGATTTGAATGATTATATCATTCCCCCCCTCTAAAGGAAGATAACGTCGGGTTCACTCAAAAACTTACCAAAAACAAAGGATAGCGCTTAAGTTTGTTGCAAAATTATAATTAAACTAAATAAAAATGAAAGTTAAGTATAAATACCATGAAAGATACCATACCTTACTGGAACTAGAATTACTGACTGTTGTTGTATCACTTGCGATGGCAGAATCTGTATCAACTCCACCATCTTTGTTGAAGCTTTGGAAACTGGAAAACGACCCATCATCATCTTTTGGAAATGGTGGTGGTCTTCTTTTTACTGAACCTAATTTGGTGAAATCACAAATTAGATTAGTTATAACCACTTAAATCATGAGAATTCTAAAATAATAATGAATTAGCATTTGTTTTCTTGTTATACAATAGTTAATTGTTCACACTTTAAATAAAACTTAAAGAAAACTAAAAATAAAGTTTTCTATAGAAATCAAATATCCCTATCACTGTATGCAAGTGTTATCTTTGGTTAGACAGACTGGACCAAAACCGAAGAATGACCAAAAGATATATTAGCTTGTTACAGGCATCTTTTGTTATATCTTTCATTTGGTAATATAATACAAATCAGTAGCTCAGTTTGTAATTTTATCCCCTTTTTTTCCAAGCTGAATAAATGATGATCTAATAATATGTCTTTAAAAATATGTCTTTATGATGAATACAGGAGTGTTACTGTTGAATATAGAAGTGTTACTGATGGTCCTGAGCCCTTGTGCTGAATTTCTGCCATTTGAAAAAATGCAAGTTAAATTGTATAATGAGACTAGACAAAAAACATATATATATATATATACATATGAGTACACATAAATAAATAGACAAGTAAAATTATAACATATTCATTTTAACACACACGAGACAACACAATTCATGCTGCATGCAAGCCAGGCACCCACCACCATGCTATATACATGCAAATTAAAGAAGCTGTTTAACTTCTTTCAGATATAATAAGTAAGATTTTAGCTAATCGCCTTCATTTTTAATTAATCACCTGGCATCTCTTTACCTTTTCTTTTTAATCAAAACTTGGGGTCAAATGTTAAGGATTGGTGTATAGAGAGGACTCGTACAGACAAGTGACCATGGATGGCCAGCTTACAGTTGGAGCCTGGTTAGAGTGAGAAGTCTTAAAGGCAGGTTACTTATTAATTAGTCTAACAGGCCATTAGTCTACATGGTAGTCTATGTCTACAACACTGATCATGCAGCTACTGCCTAGAACCAACCTGAGCTCCCGTCAGATTGACCAAACCCAGCAAATGACTCCACACGGCGTAGCTGTGGACCAGAGCGAGAAGCTTGCACGCTTTTGTGTTCCCCGGCATCGCTATTGTGACGCAAAATACTAGATCTGCGCATTTTTGCAATTTTTGTGCGAGAGCTCCAGAAGGGCTTGGTTGCTTCCCCCAACAATTCATGAGAGGTCGTAACCTGCAGGCTGGCCTTGCGTTTGATCCAGTCTAATGGGCTACGGGACTTACGTCGTACTCTTAGTTTTTCTTCACTACTAGCCAAGTTCTGCCCTTCTTCAATCCCAATTCCCATTACACTGTATCTTTTCTTTTGCAAATACACCCCATGCTCAATACTTTCTCCTGTGTCCACACTTTCTCTGCTCTCTTCAATGTCATTCAGTTTCTGGTGAGCAATATTTCTATCATCATAACTGTTTACACATGCACCAGTGTCCAAGTTCAAGGGGACTGCCCCTGACATGCTGTCAATACTACATTCAAACTGGTTGTTAGTCACTTTAGTTAGATGGTCTAACATTTTATCCACCACAATATCACTGTCTACAGTTTCAGTGTCTAGAAGGAAAGAGACACAGCAAGCATGTATGCAGGTACAAAGAGAAACATAAACATTATATATGAAAACATGAATCGGGAAGATATGTACAGGAAACAAAACAAAAATCAAGAAGCAATCTCAAAGATGGGAGATACGATACACACGGTAACCAGCACAATAGCAGAGCCTATTCTCAGGACAAGGTCCTTTTTTTAGCATAACCTGTATTATTTTATTAAATGTTTTGGTTGTAAGATACTTGACCAAAATGATATCCAAAACCAATAAAACCCAAAATAAAATGAGAACAAAAATGAAAACCTCAGAAAGAACATCACTTGCTTAATTCTTGTTCATTGAACAATACTGGTCACGTGGTTAGTATAATAAAATACAAGCCAAGCTACAGGGGAAAGCTACGGGCTGCAGGCCATGATCGTACAAGTGAACTTAAATGTCTTCTAATTTCTTGACAAAAACAAGCAGAATTCAGCTTCCAAATCAAAGTCCCCTGGGAGGGGGAAACGTAAACAAAACACTGACAGCATAGGGGGAAAAACGCAGAAGCAAGTGCAGAAATTCCAAGGCCTCTCTCCGTATCCTACCTGCAGACACCTCGAATCCTCCAAAAGTCTCGGAGCGTTTAGGAACTGGTGGCGGAGTGTAAGACCCACTTTGGTGTTCCCCAACACTGCTGACACTGCGGCTGAGATTTGTGCTGCCACTTTGGAGGAGCCAGGACAGACGCTCAGCTGGAACAGAAATACAGTACAATAGGTCAAGTATGGCCAATTCTTTAGTGAACATTTTTCTGTGAATAAAAATTCTGTGAATGAAAATTTACAATTTACTCTGTTTTGCATTAAATGTAAGATCTGACTGAAATATAAATACATGTGCATCATATATAAATGTATGTGCAGTGAAGAGCATGAGTACCTTCCTTAGCTGCTCTGTCAATCCACTCTGCAGGGTTGGCATCCTCATCTTGACCATAGGGCTGCAACTGAGCAAACAAAATACTTTATTTGTCAATCAGTTACCATGTGAATGAAAAAACATTGAAATAGATATGCATCATAATATCATATAAATCTTTAAAATCTCAATAAACGTCAAGCTTTCTTACAAGGTGTTCTTCCTTGGGCTGGTGGTCGAACATGTCAAAAACAGCATGTAAGCGATCCTTGAGCAATTCTCTTATTTGATCTTGTGATCTTTGCAGGAAGCCTGGAAATGGGAACAAAATGGTTCAATTTTTTATAAATAAGGGTTTCTGTAACTGCCTGTTTGAGTATTTCCATGCTAGTAGAGCAAATAACAAAAATCGAATCTACTGTAAAAAAAACTCAGTCACTTATAACAAGGAAAAATTTGGCCAGGTACTTACTAAGACACTCTCTGACTTTCTGTGCCCGGGCTTCCCTAATTTTTCTCTCTTCTTCACTTTCTGATGGCACTCCTTCATCATCATCTGCAATATATACATTTCAAATATTCAACACCAAGTATCAGCATGTAGATGTACTTGGTTAACAGTAGAACAGGAGTGAACTTTGTTAAACTGCACTGACATCAATAGTGCCACTACTTTTCATCATATCTTTAACAATCAAACTAACTTTCTTTGAAATAAGTAACATTTACCACCCAAAAAAGCAAATAAATCACCTTATTCATCATTCAAAATAATACTATTATAAAGGAAGGAAAAGTTTAAAATAAAAGTTCCTTAAACTAAATCTCTACCTTCTTCTGGACAATTCCTTATGGCAGCACTGACAATGTTAATCATCTGTTTCCTCTCCTCTCCTGACTTGCAGACAAACTCGTACATCTCAGGGGTGTCCTTGCTCTGGCTGATCACATAAACTCCCTTGTTGTCCCGTGTGGCCCCCTTCTCTCTGACCAGCAGTTTGTACAGAGACACCACACTCGCCTGCGGGAACACAGAGGATCTGTTAGTCACTAGTACTTGATTATTACAGATTATTTACAAAATCATATTTTCGTCCTTTTTATGTGATTATGCAGTATAAAATACTTATCTGTCAAAACTTCTTATAAGAAGAAATTCAAAATTTTTCATTTATTGAGTGTACTGATATCATCTTTACACAAAAATATTGGAAAAAACTATGGGGGGAATAAAACCATCTTCCATACCTTATTATCCTGGGTGAAAAATGTGTACTTCTGATTATTTTCTTGAAGGAAAAATACTAAGTCAGAGAGGACAACAATAAGTACATCTGGAAGGGAAAAAAATCAAACAAATCAATTTCAATTCTAAATTTTCCAGAACAATTTCTATTGCTAATCACTCATTTTTGCCATGGTTTTTGACAAAAATATATTGCAACTGATTTCATTTATGATCACCATTATTAACAACTACAATGATATGGACCAATTTGACAAGGTCAGCATGCATTGGGTACGGGAAGTCCACTGTTATCTCCCAACTCAATCACATTTAAATTAAGTGACTTTTTCTTTTCCTAAACTGACAAAGATAAACAAAGGTAGATGTGATAATTCCATTCAAAATTGGATAGTTGTTCTAAGAGTAACATCAGACAAAGCACATACCAATTGTTTTTCCTCTGGCGGTTTTCCATGCTATAGTTGACTCATACACCAGTTTCCGATTATTTGATAAAAGATCAGATTTCTGAAAAGAACAATAACATTCTTGTTGGTCATTGTAAAGGATACTGAATGATTCATCAAACAATCTGACATGAAAGCAAGCAACCCCAACTGATAATTTTTAAACAATGAAAACAAGTAGAACACAAAATGATAGCACTTGGCAGTAAAAATAGAAAAAGACAAGTTATCTCTGTAATCTTTATACCAGACAAGAGACACAACTGTCTTCTGTGCTGTCTACTGTTTGAAACTATCGTTAAAAGGAGGGTGTGACCAAGAAAGCACAACTCTCCATAACTGCAGAGAAAAACGGACAATTCTGAAACTGCTAATACATGATATCAGAAGGCAATAATCAAAGCCTTTAAAATGTGTATAATTAGGTCCAAACCTTGAATTTTTTGCCCTTGTAAACTGCTGTGGACCTGACATCCAGTTTGTTGTAGATTTCAATGAGCCTCTGTTCTTTTTCTTTGGCGTCTACCTGGGCATCTATGGCATTGAGGATATTTCTAGCCAGCATGTCTGCCTTCTTCAGCAGGGCATGGTCTGGATTGGTCTCTGCAAAACACAAAATAATTCAAAATGATGCTCTATTTCTGTGGAACTTCTCAAGGTATTTTACAGTTATCCATTGCTTGGCTAAACAGATATATTTAACAATAGTCATTCAATCAAGTTAACATCCTCCTTCAAACTTTATCAGGACACCTATAACACCTTAGAATTTTATATGGCAAGTTAAACTAGATGTTCATCTTATGACATCAAATGATTTGATTGTTAGTCCAAGTTAACTGAGCTGTGAACTTGTCCTATATAGGAATGATCACTTCTTGCTGTTACCTTGTGTTTTCTTGATCACAGCTTCAATTAGGGTTGGCATCTTAGTGAGCCTCTGGGTCACCAGTAAGATACAGTCTGGGATACTGTGGTGCTTGCACAACCCATTCCCACTGCATTTCTATATGAACAGAATTCTGATTATCAGTACAAATATTCTTAATGAACTGATATCAGGTATATTGATAAGGAATTTCCAAATATCTGAATAACTGCATACTGGTCCATTTCAAAATATACCTTGATATAATATAAGTAAAATTTTCTTTGAGCTACAAAAGAGTTTTATCTGTAATTACACACTTTACAGAAGTTTACTGAGTTATTCACAGGTATTTGAAAGCAGCACAAGGAAAAATATGAAATTGTTTCACAGTAAACATATCATTCTGGAATTGGAAACATCATTTTTACTACCATCAAACATCCACTGACAATTTCTTGATCACAGCTTTTTAAAAAATCCTTCTTTATTACTTACCCTTATAAAGTTCTGAAACTTTTTCTCCTGTTTAAAAAGGTCCTTATACAAAGCCTCGGCTTCTTTTTTCTTGCTACAAAACTCCCCAAATGCCGACACCATCCTGGTGCTGGATGGTGAATCAAACTGTTCAATCAGCAAGTCTCCTATCTGTGAGACAAACTTGTTGGGGTGCTCATCTTGTCTTTCTTGTAGCCTTTGTAGGAATGTGGCTGATATGTCAATAAGATCTTCAAGGCGTGGAAACAGTCTGTCCACCAGTTCTGGTGGCAGGCCTACCTCATGCACCAAACCATGGCTGTAAACCTGAAATCACAATGAATGATGTAAATAATTGTTTTACTGAAAAGTTTTTATTCAAAAGATTTTAATCAATATTTAAATACTACAGTTTATATGTATAAGATTACTTTCGCATAAATATATATTTATACCATACTTTTAATAATATTTCTTTTACATAAAAAAAGTTTTAATAAAAAGCTGCATAGTTCCAATATTATCAACCAACCCTTTGCATGATCTTCAAAGTTCGCAGATGATGTTTTTCTGTCATAACGATTTCTGGAAAAAAATTCAACAATCTTGGGATTAACCAATCAAAAAAATAAAATAAAATAAAATAAAATAAAAATAAAAATAAATAAAAAAATTTAAACATTTTTTGCACCAATGTGAATCCAATTATTGTTTCTTAACCTAAAACATGCTACATATGTAACTGTCCACTAAATCTCTGAAAGGTGTCATCTTAGAACTGAAAACCACATTATATATCAAACTTACCCCAAAGGTGATCCTGCCTCTTGACGTCTTTCTTACTAAGGCCAAGTTTGGAGATTTCTTTTTTGTTGACATAGACACTCCAAGCTTCAGGTTCAGGGCCTCTGATCATCAGGTCTTCATCATCCTCAAACTCCACTTGAGCACCTATGGAAGATAAAAATTGAAATATCTTGCTTAATGAGCTCCAGGATAGACTTCTGGAAATATATTCTGATAGTGCCTGGAAATGTCTGAAACTGAACACTTTACAATAAGTAGAACTATGATGTCTAAATACTCCTGAAGAGAAAAACTTCTCATCCACTTTTTAAAAAAAAATTAATCACTCCTAAACCAATTGTGAATCAAATAATTATCTACCTACACTGAGATTGTGTTTTGTATTTTATCAAATTCAAGGTGACACTAAAGTTCATAATCATNACAGGTTTGTTGTAAACGAGCTTTTATACCATACTTTTAATAATATTTCTTTTACATAAAAAAAAGTTTTAATAAAAAACTGCATAGTTCCAATATTATCAACCAACCCTTTGCATGATCTTCAAAGTTCGCAGATGGTGTTTTTCTGTCATAACGATTTCTGGAAAAAAATTCAACAATCTTGGGATTAACCAATCAAAAAAAAATAAAATAAAATAAAATAAAAATAAAAATAAATAAAAAAATTTAAACATTTTTTGCACCAATGTGAATCCAATTATTGTTTCTTAACCTAAAACATGCTACATATGTAACTGTCCACTAAATCTCTGAAAGGTGTCATCTTAGAATTGAAAACCACATTATATATCAAACTTACCCCAAAGGTGATCCTGCCTCTTGACATCTTTCTTACTAAGGCCAAGTTTGGAGATTTCTTTTTTGTTGACATAGACACTCCAAGCTTCAGGTTCAGGGCCTCTGATCATCAGGTCTTCATCATCCTCAAACTCCACTTGAGCACCTATGGAAGATAAAAATTGAAATATCTTGCTTAATGAGCTCCAGGATAGACTTCTGGAAATATATTCTGATAGTGCCTGGAAATGTCTGAAACTGAACACTTTACAATAAGTAGAACTATGATGTCTAAATACTCCTGAAGAGAAAAACTTCTCATCCACTTTTTTTTAAAAAAAATTAATCACTCCTAAACCAATTGTGAATCAAATAATTATCTACCTACACTGAGATTGTGTTTTGTATTTTATCAAATTCAAGGTGACACTGAAGTTCACAATCACAGGTTTATGTGATTGTGTTAGCTGAGAAGATTGAGTAATGGAGACTGATTGTGACGGAGAAGAAATAAGAATGTGCTGGTATCTTTACCTTCATCCAGTGATTCCATTGAGAGAGAGACTGTGTCTTCCAGGTTATTGCGCAGTCTGCTTTGTAATGAGCTAAAGAAAAAAATAAATAATGGAAAACCAATTAAAGTGTGACAAAACAAAATACCAAATAACATATACTGGCTGTAAATGGGGGTTTTCATTTACCTGCTTGTATCCCATTAAAAGTTCACAATTCACTAAAAAGAGAACTTGGTAATTCTGTAGAGAGACTTACAGTGTTGAAGGGTCCTGCCCCATAGATATCGAAGCGCCATCTAGAGACTCTTGGGATTCCTCAGCTATGGCTTTACTGGAAAATACAAGCAAAATATACAGTTACTCTCCTATAAATATAAACCACAACTGTATTAATAACCAATAATAGTACTTAGCTAAGATGTCAGAAAGAACATTGAGAATTTGAACCAATAATTCAAGGCTTTTAAGTTTTACTTTATCTTTTCTAATGTACAGTGATTTTATAAATGATCAAGGTTATGAATCCTGAAAGCTTCAAGCACAGATGTAATATGGGATTGCAGAGGCAGAGAAAACATGTAATTTTACTATTTCTCCTTATTCCTCTTTGTTCTTACTACTGTCAGTCTACTGTAAACTGCAATATTTAAGATTATGCATCCTAAAGTTTAGTGAAATCTGAAATAAAAGCATGATCTAAATATTGCTAAATTTACAACTAAATGCACACAAGATACCTAAGTTTAAATATGTAGAAATAACTTAGATGCTGACTGACAAAATACAGAAAAAAATTAATAAAGTTAATGTTTAAAGTTTTCAGTCTTAGAATTGAGGTTAATGTCACTTATTAACATTAGAAAAACACTCATGCTTTTGTAGAATAAATTATTCCACCTTTTACAAGGCCAATTTTTTTTTCAAATAAAACATGGCAGTTATTTAATCTATTTCAAAGGGCAACACCATCCATATCCAAGTACTTAAAAATTGGCTGAAAAGAATGCTTTACAAAATAGGTACACGTAAGTACAAATACATGGTGAAGGGGCACTAATGCACTGAAATACTAATATGACTGCACATATGTGCTTAAGGCAAGCTGAAGAAAAAATTTCTGGGATGAAGTTTGTGCACAAAATTAAAGCATGTTTCCCTATATGATGAAGTCCTACACAAGGCAGTGTGTTCAATGCATTGCTTTAAATCACTTAAAGTGCAGATGCATTATACCAGGCCCGTAGCCAGCAATTTCAAAAGGGGGGTTCGTTTTCTGAAAAAGTGGACCTTTTCCCATGAAAACTTCATGTACCTAGATCAAATTTTACCCAGAGTGGACCTTTTCCCAGCAAAAGGGGCGGTTCTTTCGAACCCCCCGAACCCCCCCCTGGCTACGGGCCTGTTATACATATTCTTTTTGTCAACATATTGCCAGTCTTCAACTTTGGTACCAAGAGTGTATAAAAGGGACATTTGGAGTATATGCCATGACCAAGTTTCATCACTTCTTGTTACATAGTGTTAAATATATTTATATATGCAGCAAATGCAGTAAACAATACCGTAATGGCAATGCTGGTTTCATGACAATGACCCGAGGAAATCAGCTCTACTAACACAGGCAACTTTCTCTGTTATAGACTAAGAGAAAACATATTCTTCTAGGATGTTATTCTTTTCAACTCTTGCATTCAAATAACAGTTGGTGTCATGATGAACCCAGTTTAATGGGGAAGATGACCTTTCAATGAAATATTAGTGTTTTGATAACATTTTCTGATATAAATCATACATCCATAAACCCTACAGATATATGTCACCTAATATGTTTGTAATTTTACTATTAAAACTGAAAATAACATGCAAGTAAACTTTTTTTTCCCAAAATGTACTACTCTGTTGGAATAGTCATCACAAACTTTACCATGCCAAAATCAAAATATAATGCAGTGATTTAAAAAAATAGAATAATAAATAAGAAACTAAACGTGCACCTGATTGTGGACATGCTTCTCCATTTTCCATTTTTATACACCAATGAACACCAAATTAAATGGCATTCATCTGTTACCTTGCTTCTCTTTAATAACAAAAATACTAATGAAAAAACCTAACTTTACCAAGTAACAAGATTTCCCAACATTTATGCATTTCTAACAAATAACAATCTGTCATCATTAATATCCATAAAATTCAACATTTAAAGCGCAGTTTGCACAAAAGCCTTTGCCTATTCAAAGCCCAAAGCAGCTTGCTACTATTACATGCATGCCATTAGAACAATGACCCAAACTTGCCAAGATCTGGCAAGGAACACTTCAAAAGCCATCTCACCATAATACCAAAAGGGATGCTGAACACTGATAAACACTGGGACTCACATGCCACAGAACACATGGTGATGCAGCCAGTTGATTAGTAACTTGCAAGCATAGACAAATACATACATTACAAACATATCATTGTACATCTATATATGTATACTTTGTATCCCAGCATGGTTGTATTAGTAGACATGAGCCAAAGGTTAGTAAATGGCATCACTTACTCTATCCCAAGTTTAGCTGCAACCCGCCGCCATTGAGAATATGCCCCTGAGGACCATCGGCCAGCATTCAATCAATTAGTGAAAATGCATGCCATTAGGTTTCAAAGTGGTGTTTAATGAAATAAATTAACTAATCAAATAATATATGACAAAAATTTTAAATGAAATAAAAAGAATTAATTATGCAGTGACTTGTGATTAGTATAGGATACAAAATCAATAGCCTGTCACATTTTACTCCTGCTTGGTAAAGTAAAAGTGAAAGCTGGTAACATACTTTCAATCCTTTTATTCATTCCTAACAAGTTCGTTGACCCACAATAAAGCAAACTAATATCCTGACACTTCACCCGCTTTCTAAAGGTTACACATTTATCTACTCAAGAGCTACAGCATGTATGTTCATTTGAAAAGTATATTTCAGGTCCATATTCAGAGTTCCTCTCTCCATTAGACAGGCAATACATTTGTTGCACACCTTGGTGGAATAAGCATCATTAAGCTGCTTTGTTCTTCTTCCAATTTACTGGCAGATGTACACATGAAGCATTCTTTAAACTTTCTGCCAATATATATTTGCTGTGAGAAGCTTCTTTAAGCAGCCATCAAACCAACACATTTTTATATCACAGAAGATAATTCAGCAAATAAAGCCTCAGTTTCAGCACAGACCATCGCATGCCATGCCAGTGAAGCACCCAAGATGGGTGTGAAAATTCTGAAGCTAGTGCCAAATACTTGGACAAAATAGAAAAGACGAGACTTCAACCATGTATGAGGTAGTTGTTGCGAGGAAGCAAGACAGGCTTGTGTTTTGAGGAGTTGATACTTACTGATCATTTGGAGATGAATTCCTGTTTGGCAGTGAACTAAAGGAAACAGATGTCTGCAATAAAAAAACATTCTAAAGTTAGGTAACTGATTAATACTTTCAGGGCGACCAGCATACAAATCACATCAGAAATACATATTATTTTACCCAAGAAAACAAAACAAAACAAAAAAAAAATACGAATGGATTAACTTATCATATAGTTATCTTTTAAAATTTTTTGGTAAAAAAAATGATACATTACAAGGTTAAAATGCATCACAAAACTGAGGTATATAGGTATAATAGGCATGATTCCACTACTATGATTACACAACTTCATCATTAATGTTAGCAAGTCTCATTTACAGTAAACCCTAACTATAAGTCAGGTCTCCTGAAAAAATATAAAATCATTACAATAGAATTTTATCATTTTAGAATTCATCAATTTTTATCAAATTTATATGCCAAGGTAATTTTTACCATTTTGCCCAAATTAAGTTAGGCAGGTTTGGCTGGTAGCAGATACTACAACATCTGGATTCCCTGATGTTATTTTAAGTTAACTTAAAGACGCACACTTACCTGTTTAACCCGACCAGCGGGCACTGACCCTGCCTCCACAAAAGACTGTGATGATTTCAATATTGGTCCACCTTGCTGCCCTCCTACTTAAATACAGGTTTGTTCATAAGTGAAAAATGAAACAAAGTATGCAAGCAATTATAAAGACTATTACTAACTAGCAGAACTGACTTTCTTCGTCAATAACAAAATTTTACAATATTCACCTAATAACTGTTCCTTTATTAACTTCTAAGAAGTACAGCTCAAATCTGTCAAAATTTTTGGCAGGAATATTAAATAATTAAACACACACACACTGATTTCAACCAAATATTTGGCATTTAAATGTTTTGCTTGATTAGAGATACATGTATAAAAGGCTATGCAGTATGATCCATCACTACAGTTTTCTGCAAAAATTCCTTACAAGTTTTCCTGTTTGATTTATCTATCAATAAGGCTTCTTCCTGTTTTTTGGCAGAAATTAATACTTTCCACTTGGCAATAGTACACTGCCTTTTCAATCCTTTTGCACCCAAAAAACGTAGAAAAATATGCACCCAGAATATTTGTCAATCTTTCTTTTTTAGAAGTGAGAAAGGGGGGCAAGATGGCTCCTTCCTTGATTTCACAAAGCAGTTTTTTTTTAAATATCTAACTGAACTTTATGGACAAAAATCCCCATTTGAAACAATAATGGCACCATCTGGCACAAATTAAGTATCAAATACCAAGGTAAAGTTTAGTCCCCACCTTTAGGTACTGAACATCAACCCCATGTTTATAAATTTGGTAACATTTACTGTGTGTATTGAAAGTTGAGTCTGCCAACAACATAGAAGTTTACCCAAGCTATCAGTTGATTTACATTATCCAGTGATCTGTGCTGTCTGCCATGATACTTAGTGCACTCAAGACAAAACTGAGTAGAAAAATCCTTTTAAATATGGAATGTTTTGAAAATTAACATTAATCATCCCACACAATTTGTTCCAGTAATATCCCCCCCCTCCCCTCTGACCTCAACACTCCTAGCCAATTGCATATCAATAAATACTTCATTGTTTTTAGGAATGTGACCAACATTACAGTAATAACAGTAAAGTGATCAGGCATAATATGGTAAGGGCCCAAATAGTAAGGGAGAACACATGACACCTTCATCAATTTCTGTTGTACAGAGAATTCCTTTCAGAATTTGTACCTTAACTGAAAAAGAAGGTAAATACCAGGGATTCTCTTAAAAGAAACCATCATTGGGGGTTTCCTGAAGTTATGGTATGGGATGAAAGGAAACCTAGCTTTTTCAGCTTACTGGCAAATCCAAAATATGGATTAGACTCATTTGGTGCATACAACTGCACCTCCCCCCTCCCCAAACCCCCCAATGTCCAAAAGTTACCATGAAAACATGCACTGACTATAAGTTTGCACGGTTGGTTAGCAGTGAGGTTGTTTAGCAGTCACGCTGGGTGCATACAGGAGAGGTGATCTAAAGGTTGAAAAGGGAGATGTGATGAATGAAAACACCTACCTGGAGGGGGGCATCTTTCCTGTATTTCCCGACGATATGGCCTCTGTAAGAAATTCACAAAAGTGCATCAAAAATAAATAAAGCAAAAACTACAAATGATACACTGTTTTTCATCAATAATTGTTGGGGCTTTTCCTGAAATTTGATTTTTTTATCACAAACCATTTTTTTCACAATATGTAGCAACTGGGTATACCAGATTATATTAAATTCACATCTCATATAAAATTTACTCTTGGCTTTATCTGCCCATCCTAAAGATAGGTAAGGGAACATTTTTGAAAACTATACTTCGCTGTTCCAAGTAACCATTTTTGGTTCAAATTAATTACAACACTTCATCCATTTTCTTTCCATTATCATTCACGTGACAAGTGGGCTTGACAGTGTTAACCATTTCAACTGACCAAGGACATTTTATTGTTCAACTGTTCTCTTATCTACCTAGACTAAATCACAAGATGTTTTCCATATCTAATGTTTCTAATGATAATCCCATATCTTGTTTTCATTCATCTTATAATCTATATACGCCATATTTTCATGTCTGCCTGCATTAAAGATTTCAAAGAAAAATCTTAACATTTAGTTTACTAAAAGAAGTGTTTTCAGCAAATCAATTTACTGGAAATAAAGTACTTGAACTTGCAAATAACTGACAATAAAGAGAATCAAATACTGACAAGAAAACAAGTTTAAAATACAAACAAAGTGATTTTCTACTCTTAAGTCACCTTTTCTTCCTCAGGGTATGTCACTTTGAACTGCAGAGTAAGTCTAGCCATGGTTCTCTGACACAGCTAGCATCGAAACAGAGGGATGGAAGGGGCTCCGAAACTATAACAACTGTTAATATTGTATAACTCCATCAAACTTTAGATATTTAAGTCTCCATTCAACACTGATGATCAATATGCACTGGTATTACAAAGGATAGATGCAACAAAGGAAAGAAATGAGTAAATGGGATCCATCTTTGGACTAGCAGTATAGAGAGTAGTTAAAGTTGACTAGATAGTGGAGATTCCTGTACTATTTGACATGTACCACTGCCAAACAAATGTTCAATCCAACAACACTGAAGAAGTCACAGTTGTGCAGTGGTATAAACCACTAAATCAAGATATAGAAGATATTCCACAAAATATGAATTCTCCAGATTCTCTGATTTTCCTGGAATCTTACATGGCCTGGCGGATCACACTGGTTCAGCAGTAAGATATCAACCTAAATGATACATACTCAACCACATGGTTCACATTTGACAGTTCAACATATCCCCTCTGCTGCCACTTAGTACAGACTGTGTGCATCTTCCAGGTAATCCATTCCAAACCTTCACAGTGCCACAAAGAGATGTAACACTTAGGTAAAACAGCAGTATCGCTGCTGGCATCTAGTGCCCCTTCTCCCCAGATACCATGTCCTCTCTTAAATGGTATCTGCTGAGACTTTTAACCAAATAGAAACACACCAGCAGCACAATGAATCCATAGCAGACCCAGGGCCTGATTTCTTTCACCTTGGTAGAACTATAGCCCCTCCTTAATCATCCCTCTTTTAATGGACCAGAAACACGAGGTGTACTTCAGCTTGGCGGTGCTCTCAGAAGAATTTATTCAAAGGAAAATTTCCAAGTTCTACAGCTATGACCTTGACTTTACTACCTGTGCAGCTAATGAGGCAGTGCTATCTTTCACCCTCAGGTGTGGACTAGAAGAGGGGAAGGGGGGGGGGGCAAATTTTTTAGGACCAGTAAACGGAACTTTTCATGCACATATACTGTAACCATTTTTAATCAGAATAGTATCAATTATGTTCTACTTTTTCCAGTGCTTATATGTCATCATTCAGAGAAAACCATTTTTGGTTGATGCAAAAAGCTACTAATGCGAGGCTCATGCCATAAAATTAAGAAAATTTACAGCTATTTCCAGCTCCAAGTTTACCAACTGCAACCATATGTGAAAAGTTTGTTTATAAATTGCTGGGCAGGAAAAAATCATAACACACAACTTCAGCATTGCCAGACTTTCTGTAGTTTATAAAACACCAAGTTCTCTATTCTGGCATCAATGCAAATGTTATCTGATATTTGTTCCAAGCTGCTTTAATCTATTTAAACACAAGCTTATTTTCTATATTAAAATTATAGGATCACCCAATGGTGCAAAACGGTATCAAAGCCACTTTGTTAGAATCTAAACGCTCTCGCACATTGAAATTGATGCTGCATTTCTTATTTCAACATGGAAAAACACCAGTCTTACTAAATATATCCAAAGAAGACCATCTAAGTGACTTTTCTGACTAAGCTTGAAATTCAAAGTGGCATATATTACTTTCAGGATGAGAATATAAAAGTAGACTTTATGCAATTATAGCACCTCTTCAAACCTGTTCAGGTAACTCACAGTCATCAGCATTGCTGAAGAGTTTATTCATGAGAACTGATAGTTACAGTAGCACTTCACAGGCGGATGTTTTTGCTCATAGTATCAGGAGCAGAAGATAATTACCAACACATCTCTACCTAGGCTGAAAGTCTATCTGGTGAGCCTTCTATATTAACCCATCCATGCCAAGTTTATTTTAAACCACAAAATAAAAAACATTTTTCAAAGTTAATTTTTTTTTTACTTACGTTTTCTACAGATATTACTGAATTCTTTATTTCTGTTTGAGTATATAAATGCCTAGATTATAATATGTAATAAAAAATAAATAAGGCCAGCATTCACATAAAGAGCACAAATAATCAGGGAGGCACTAAGTACTCTTTGCAACACTAGTTGTCAACTTTATGCAACATATAAGAGTGCAGCTGAGATGTAATTTGCTCTTGTATGTCGCATACAGGGGACGACGAGTAGTTGAAACTAACTTATACCTGGTGCTTTGAACAAGGATAAAAGCACTGAAGCAAATGAAAATACAGACAAGCCTGTATGCAAAATACAAGTGCAATTATCTTCATTTTTGAAGTGCTAGCCATGGTATAATTATATATTATATATATATATATATGAATTGCTACATATTTATAATGGGTATACTTAATGCAGTTTTACTTCAAACTGGCTTATTCTGAATGAATGTACATATAAACAGATCTCACAAAAACATGGGCTGGTTGAAGATAAATTAAGATTAACTTCTACTTGATATAAACTGGCCTAAAAGTTAATGTGTTGCACCTTCCAACATTAAGGTGTGCTACTCTCCCTGTTTTTATCATCTTTTTTTGTCTTACAGAGAGATACTCTGATAAGGCGGAAGAAGGCAATTTTGCACTTAACTTGTCAATTTGGTAGAATAGTAAAATTTCATCAGAAAGAAAATGTTAACCAGTGGAGCCCAAGTGTGCTGAACTTGTAGCAATCAGAAGTCTTGCCCTCCAGCCTTGCCTCCTATAGACCTGACCATGTGTTACAGCAGCTCAGCACACAGATATCAAGCCTCTGTGCATCATTTTCTAGACACGAGATGAGGCCAGATTAAATGGTGCTTAATTTCAACACCAGGTAAAAAAAAGGAGGCCATTCAGGACAGTTTTTACTGAAACAGTTTTTAGAAAAACTTGAAGATATCTGTAACCATCCATGTGAGAATATTAACATAGGGATGGCTCTGGCTTACATTGATCAGGATCTCAAACAACTGACTTAGAACAATGCTGAATGCCTTCATTATTTTACTTGTGTTAATTCTTTATTTTGCCTTAATGGGATATTACTGACTATATGGTATAGTTGGAATGGCAACTGCTGGACAAAGGTGTTGTGCAATGAAAGAAGATAGCACTCTGACCAAGGTCTAACAAACAATATTTTAAACCATATATTATCAATAATTGCAAACTGTCTTGATGTGTACCTCATGATGTATTCCTCTTTATGACCAGCCAGAATGTGGTAGTTGAGTCCATTCATTGCGTGAGGTGGTGTTCTACAACTTATTCTCACCTCACATTAAAAAATGTGTGATTTGCTGAACAACACTATCTCCTGATGATGAAATACATTCTTTCCAAAACATAATTTCATTATTTAAGCTTAATGATTTCTCATTTCTTTTAACTACCACAGATTTTCCCACTGAAGTAAGCTAGTCTCTGAAATGTGCCTATCCTGAAGAACAAAACATGCCAAATATTTCTTTAAAACAAGTCAGACTTTTTTGTTTATCAAAACCAAATTTCATTTGCTATGTTTTTAAAACAACCTTCAGGAAAAAGACCTATACACATGATCTCGTTTATCTTACCTTGTCTTTTTTGAGCTTTAGACAGGGAGGGACAGAATCTTTGCACGAGCTGTCATGGACGTTAATGCTACAGTCTGAAATTTTCAACAATAATGTATTTAAATTCAATTTCAAACCATAAACAAAAGGAACAGACCAATTAAACAGTTTGATCTCTACAATGTAAATCCATTGCTTTCAAAAACCTTGTATGGAAACAATATAATAATCTCTGTACCATCAAACTTCTCACATATTCATCATAAAAATAAATAAAACAGATGGCTGCACCTACGTAATGAACAATTTACTTAAATCTTATTTAAATCTCTAAGTAAATTATTAATCACACATTTTCAAATCTATATTATTGATTTGTTTATGGAATGAAGAGAACTTACTTTCACAGCTGACTGCAGGTTTGTTAGCAAGTGTTTTACCACAGATATCACAGGAAGTAGAATTACTAAAGGAGACACTGACAAACTGGTGAGTTTTCTTTCCTTCTTTATCCTTCTGTAAGTATTAAAATACACAATTTTAAAAAATGACAGCCATGATAATTTTTTGGTTAACACATCAACATCAGTAATTAAATTTATCATTTTATTACAAAGATCACGTTGAAAAGATCCTTAATTCTAATGAGCAGCTTATTTGTAAGTGTGCATAAATACTACACTGAGTTTCAACCATGTATTTCTACCACCTTTTACATGCTGATAAGACAGTAACACTGAGGTGCAAGGTCACCAATTAGAGATAATGAAAAAGGTACAAGGTTGTGAGTTTCTGTCTTCAAAACATGAGCGATGTTAGCTCTTACAGACAAAAATGCATGCTTTCACATCATAGCATGTTTAGAGAAACTGGATATATTTGCAACCTTTTAATCTGATGGGGATGTGACAGAAGGCATGCTAAAAGTTATGCTTACTCGTTTTTGCCTATGGCTCCCGAACTTCTGCATAAAACTCAACTTTCTTTTCTTTTCTTCTTTTGGTTCTTTTTTCTGTTCTTGTTCCATGTTCTCTTCATCTTCTTCGAAATTTGCAGGACTGAAAAGAAATACTGGGAATGAGAGCCATTTTCTATGTTCTGGCAATGTGTGAACTGTGCAGAGAAAAATCCAGCATGAGACGGATATCAATAAAAACTAGGAGAGCTATGTCCATAAAAATAAAGACCAGAGTTTTGCATTTCCACCTGTATAGAATCTGAAATGTTAATTAACCCCAAAAGCAACAATCTGGCCACCATAACAATAGGCAGTAAAGTTGGTCTGACACACAATTGTGGCCTTATAAAATAATGATCACTGGCAGCAATATGCTCCATAAGATGACATGCAATTCCACCAAGAACATTTTGATGAGAAGTTGTTTCCATGAGACTAATAAGTTTCCCTTCATTAGAATGATAGGTCAAAATAATTGCACAAATAATGACACCTTGTTGAATTTCCTTTTAAATGGGACAAATATCAGATATAAATCAATATTTGAACACAGAAGTAGAAGCCTGAAAAACAAAACAGGAAGCTTTTCCTTATCACTACAATAAAAGCTCTTCATTCATTTCATTCAGGGACAAAAACACCTTGATAAGATTGGTAACCAAAATGTTCTACTGAAAATTAATACACTGTCTACTTGTGAGGGTAAGGTTTTATAAAGGAAAATGTGACACGGGAAAAAGAATTAAACCAAAGTTTCCTACAGTACTTTTGCACCACCATCACTACTACTACCTAAAATTAGGATTGGGAGTTTTAAGATTCAGCTATGAAATTCACAAAATCACAACATGGTGGACTAGATAAGCTACAAAATTCTTTCTAAAACTTCAGCTACGTTACACAACTTCTGATATTAGAAATTAAACAACAACAAACACTATTCAAAACACAGACAAACAAAAAACATGGATATTTTTTCTTCAAATTATAATGAATTTGGTGGGTACATAAAAACATGGCAGTAATTTGGTACAAAGGCCTTAGATCTTCAAAGCAATCACCACACATCTGCATCTACATCTACCCCTCTACTTTGAAAAAGGATAACAATGTGAATAATGTCTCCCTTCCAACTGTACAAACATACAGAAGGTATAAAAGATAGTCACAACATATTGTTTGGGATAAAGAAAGCACCGTTTTACCCAGCATTACTTACAGCCAGAACTCGCGCATTGTCTCTATCACTGACCGTCGCCCCCACTGCTTGACACTTTTCTTCCTGTGAGGGAGGTTGGAAAATGAAAGCAAAACATTGCAAAATGGTGGAAACATTTATGGGACTGGGATCCATCAGCCATTATTTGTTTGTAGGCTTATCATTAAAAACACTAAGACAAAAAAAAGCACAAACAAATATATAAATATGTCTAGTCATACATGAACCTGAATGCCAGTGCTGCTAATACAACTGACAAACATTTCCCCAATTGGTCTGTCCAACTTTCTTAGTGAATTGAACTGACCAATGAGGATTTTATAAGGATGGCGATAAGCTAAAACACCCACAGCCTAGGAAATACAAAAAAATACCTAATAGGTTTGAGAAATGTACAGTAGAGCCCAAGAAGTGAAACATCCTTGAATACACATGTAAGAAGATGCCAACGCAGAGAAACATTGCCAGAACTTACACCATATGTTTTCCGTAGACCTTCCAAAGATACCCACAATAGCTTAAAAGCCTCATACTAAAAACCTAAGATCTTAAGAAGGGAGAGGGAAAATGGACAAGATGGTGTTAATATTGATTTATGTTGGGTTAAAACTGCTACCTAGTCACTACAACACTTCACAACAGAATGCCTGTAAATGTTTAGGCACAAGCTATGTGAAATATGTGTGAAAACTTGGCATCACTTTTCTTTGTGACACAGAAGTAACACCATAAACAAATGGTTAGTATTTTTTTGAAGAGTTGTCCTTCTTGATGTTTGGGTTTAGTAAGACTCCTCTCCGCAAATTATCTTCAAAGGAAAAGGGAAATCTATGACCACTGCGATTTTGTCCCTTAATCTATAATGGAGTATAATTACTTCTAAAGACAGAAGCTAGCCAGTGTTTGTCTATAGATTTCCTATGATCAAAACACTGCATGAATCCCTACTATATATATATATATATATATATATATATATATATATATATATATATTGCTACGTTGAGAGATTTCAGAGGTTGCAAAAACTGTTATCTTTTGTTACACATATTTCAAATAAAAAACACTGCATACAAGATGTTAAAATAAGTATTTTAGTAGTTCAGAACAAACAGATAATCATGCTGGGATATCACACTGCATTATAAAATGAAATGGGTGAAAAAAATTATTTACACAACAATTTAATTTTTTTTTAAATTGTGCAAAAACTTGAGATTTTACCCCTTTTCAATTTCTAAATCACTGAAGTTAATAAGGTGGGTACTAGCAAAACAGGGTTTGAATTCATTAAGAATAAGCAGGAATAAGTAACTTCATGCAATTTTACAAATACTTTGGAGAATGCCCCAAAATTTGAACAACAAGTTAATATACAAACGTCTGTTAATTCCTGGGATAGCGCCACATTAAGGTTTTGTCCAAAAACCAACAAATTTCATGCAGGAATCAAATCTTCAAGAAAGAAAGGGTAGGTTTTTTCAATCTAGTTCCTCAATTACTTACTCATTTAAGAATTCAATCATGGAAACCCGGGCTTTACGTTTACTTTCCTCGTCTGTCATCCCATTTTCTTGAGATTTTCTAAGTGCACTGGAAGATAAAACAGAGCTCTTTGCATGAGGCAATATTGTAATACTGTTAAAGTGTGCCAGACCCACCCCTATGCCCTTATCAGAAGTTCATCTTAGATGATTTCACAATCAGTTGAAGACAGATTACAGAGTAACTCCAGCGATATCTTTTCTAGATGTCACGGTCATCCAGCCTCTTCCACATAATACGAAAAATTGGCCTGCTTGCTTTTGCTATTCACTCAAACAAACAAAAAGTAGCTCACCTTAACCATCCATTTTGAAATATTTTGTTAGTCAATGTATTATTCAATATAAGTAAAAATTTTAATCCTATTAATCAACGTGTTTGTTTAGAAATTCCCAACAACTGAACCCACTTTTCTGATCAAAAAGAAGAGTGATGTTAGGTGCATGGTGTTAATAGCATGCGCCAAGTCAAGGAAACAAGGATACTCTTTCTCTCTGAACTTTTTTTATTAAGTTCATGTATCCCTCCTAACACAAGGATTGGCAATCGTGCCTTCATGTCAAATAACTTCATATGCACCCAGGCTATTTACGAACATAGGAGGCAAGGAAAAGTCATCAAAGTAAGTCAAGGAATATGTTTGTAGCTCAAGGTCTGCTATTATTACATAGTCGCTCAAAGGCCTCTGGGAAAGTTCTGGATTAACATTCTTGGAATCCAGGTATTTGATTGGTGTGAATCATGTTTTCATTGGTTGGGAAGGGCATAAATTTCTGACTGTATGTCCACAGCACCTGAGTTTATTAAATACACTTGTGACTTTGCAAAGCATTTTTAAAACAAGCTGAAAAACGTGGCGACAGAGTAGAGCAATGGCACCTTGGATGCCCCATCGTTAAATTTATATGACATTAATTACTAGCAAGTCAATTAAATGCAGAATGCTTTTTTTCCCTTTGACCACATATCAATACATTTAAAAAAGGCTATGTAATTTCTGCTAAACAAAGCATATCAAAAAATGCAAAATTCCAAACCCAATTACAAAAAAAAAAAAAAAAAAAAAATTCCACCTGTTTTGAATGGTTGCAAGGAATTTGTTTCAGAATTATTTCTTTTGGCATGTTATAATTCTACCAGATTGTTCACAAATGACAATTCAATAAACTGTAATGAACTATAGACTGATAAGCAGGAATCCATAATAATACAGATTTTGTATAACAATAAAATAGCTTCATCTACATTTCTATAATGACAGGAAGTGGAAATCAATGGATGACAGACAGGAGTCCAGCTGCAATAAGATTTAATAATAATTTCTGACAGGCCTTCTAAAAGCATGGATATCACATTTCATAAAAGTAATGTCAATATATCTGTTATAAGACATACCAATATATATTTATATATTTATTAACTGTTGTTATACATTTAAAAGCTAGCATGGTCAGAAAGCAAGTCAAAAGAAAAACTAGATGACAAAAGTAAAAACGAAGAATCTAACAAGCAAAAGCAAGAAGTGAAGTGAAAAGTGACAAATACAATACAGCAAAAGAGATGCTAATGGGAATGTTGCCTTTATACAGAACATACATATATAGTCATAATGGTGCTTTATGGAGACACTGACGGTAACAGTTTTCAGTGACATTTCTCAATTTTTTTTTCTAAAAATTGATAATTTTTGCTAATCACCAAAATGTGCTACCTCACTTATACTAAGATTTTGTAAAAAAAAAGAAAAAAAAAAAAAAATTGGGAAATCCATTTCAATACATCTGTTGAAAGTTATAAAGCAATAACTACATTCCTAATTATCTCCTTGCAACAAAATGCTGAGACATTATGATAAAACTTTCTTCAACATGGCTGGCAATACATTAGCAAATTTTATCAGTCATCAATGGATAATGTTAAAACAGAAAATATAAAGGCACATCCCTTGAGCATCAGCCTTTTAAGCTGCATTGAGTATAACAGATAAAAGGAAAGGTGAAGGGCATCACTCACTCGTGTTCTTCTACTAGCTTTCGAATTGTTACATGACTCTGCTTCTCAGTGCTATTTATGTTAAAGAAAATAAAATTGAAAGAAGGGTCAATTTAAGTCACTGCAGTTCAGCAACATACAGCTCGCTCATCTTTTTATGCAATAAGTAAAATACACATCCCTCATTTTAGGGACTAACAAGGTAGAGTGGATTTTGGAATCTAAAAGATCAACTTGTACACCCATATTAATTTCAACTGAAAGTTGCTAAACATACAGATATAATATGACAAGATTTTTGAAAACAAATTTTTCTTTGTTATTCAATAATAGTGTACAGGAAGTGACAATCAGCGAAATCATTCAAATTCTGCAGAGACCCCCTAATAAAAGCTGTATCATACTTGTCACTGATTGACAAAATACACCACATACAAACAAACAATCATTAATTAAGTTATCAAAAAAATAATCAAATAGCTACTACGTGGTGAATAATAAAGAAATAGTGAGATAAATAAGACTTTCTAAAGTAAATCTAAAAGGGGAGAAAAAGCAAACTAAACAAAATCAAGAGTCACACAATAATAAAAAATACATCACAATTAAATCTGGAACTAAGGAAATGCATTTTAAAGAATTCTAGGTTATGGAGTTAGAGCAGACAGGGAGAGTGACAACAGAGAAGACCAGTTACTTACAAGGCCTCTTCCTTTGTGATATGCCCTTCATTGAACGTGCCAGATCTCCGACAATCTGCAACTGAAGTACCAGTAATTACACATAAACGACAATGATTTAACTGATCGGATAACTTACTAGAGGAATTAAACTTTGTTTCAACATGCTTTAATTTCAAAGTTAACAGCATCTTTAATAATTCATCCCATTTTTGTCTTTCAATAATTTAAACAGCACAACGTACATTACCAGTATTGCACATGAATCATTATATCTAAATCGATTCCAACCAGAAAGTCAAAATGCATCAATGAAACCCTGGCATATGAGAGGGAAAATAAAGTGGCAAATGTCCATACCTTCTCCTTCCTTTACAGAAGACAGAGATGGAGTGGAGACAGACATCTTGGACTGCTGCAAAAGAGTCACATTTTTCTGTTTGGGTGTCCTCACAGACATGGGGGGATTACTAGTAGCTGTGGTAGAGACATTGGTCTGGTTTGGAGCCATAGCATCCTTCTGAAATAACAGAGAAAAAGTTTTCTTAGACATTAAAACAAGATGACACTTAAAACATCATATATCACTTTACAATTGTATAATTTTCAGCACACCAGTATTTAGGAGAAATATATTTCTACCAAAATAAAACAATTTTTGTCATTGATAACCATCACATTCACATTCCTAAAATATACCATGTTCAAAAACATATGTATTTCATTTGATGTAAAATTATGCTTGAAGCTTTTCATTAGACCAATGATAATGAAGTACTTTCCAAAACTTTAAAGTGTGTTTTGAATGAATGTATAGACATCATCTGACATAAGACAGTAAGGATAGAGTAGAAAGCACAGTCAAAGTTCTTAACACTTTTTTTTTTTTTTTGTGCCAATAAACTGCCCCTACACCATAAGAATGGGAGGGGGGCTGAAAGTACACAAGGAGTCAGACTACATTGTGAACTGTACATATTGATCCTTGCGTCCTTTTGTAAGCAGAACATCTTGAAAGATCATTGGCAGAGGAAATAAAGTAAACTGGCTGCCAAGAACATGCAATTACCAAGCAACTACAGATAATTTCAGTGTTTCACATGTATTGGAATGGTGAAGGGCAGCAAATAAGCCAAAGGTCTCATATGCCAAGGAAAGAAGTTTATTCGCCAGTCTTTTTATTTACATTGATCAATTTCATTAATTGTATAAAATCCCTATAGATTAATATAATCTTATAGCCAAACAACAGAATTACAAAAACATGCTTAAAAATCACTAGTCCTGTAACTTGGCAAATATGTCTCATTAGATTCTAATTCAATCCATTTATGTGTAGTAATTGTTCATTAGCAAACTGGCAAATTAATAAACTTCCGTCTTATCTCTAGCTAGCCACAGCTCAAGATGTTCAAGCTATATATGCTGATAGCTACTGAGACATTTAATGCCCTTACAATTCCTGAAATCACATATACAACAGTCTTATTCTTTTAATATGACTTTTATTCAAATGATTGTCCTTTTAACTTGGCCATCAATCAATCAATTAATCAGTACAAAAACAAAATAAATAGTGTTTTGACGGCCTGAGGACAGTGCGCACTTACATACAGCTCTTCTACCAGTGACAGGGCACAACCATTTCTCAGCTATACGTGCAGCAAGTGTACATCAACCATTGAACCCATATTATCACACAGACACTGTTCAAAATAGCTTGTATTGACAACGCATATCCCTCTTCATGAACCACTTAGTCTGAATTGCCTGAAAGTTCACTGGTTAAGTGCCTATATTATAGATAATACAATCTAACTTTACATCAACCAGAATGTCAAATCCAAGCAATTTTGACCTGCCAATAAATAAAAGCCACTTAGCATATCCACCAGACTACAGCAGAAAAGGTCACATACATATTTCTTTCTAGAGGGCACACAGGTGATCAGCTCCCATTACGGGTAATTAAAAGTCAGGGGTAATAATTAACAAGAAACCATAGACTGAATACTGCTACAGTAGATAAGAGTGATTATTTCTACCCACCAGCAGCTAGTTGCAGGTGGTTTCTTCCCTTAACAGGACAGACATTTCCAGCTCCATAAAGCATCATAAAAAGTCTGAAGAAATTTCTCAAACCCATCTTGGCAGCAGTCAAAAATAAGAACCTGTTCAGTTCAGAGTCCAATTAGACTAAGGGTTGTAAGGGGGGAGTCTTTTTATTAAGTAAAATGCTTTTTTTAAAGAAAAAATACACATGGAACCTGATCTGATCTGACAGCAGAATCCACAGAGCAAGGCATCCCAGTGCTTCTTCAGTCCTTTGGCAGGTGTAAAAATGACAGCTAAGTCTGAATGGGCAGGCAAGGTAAATTCTCAACAAATGGCCTCCTAAATCTAGAGTGAAATTTACCCGAAAAGTGCATGTCTACAGCGATTAACCTGCCAGTTTAAGAGGGTTCCAAACACCATGGTTCATCACCACTAGATCTACCTCCAAGTGCTATGGAACATGTCTCAAACTGGTGCATCAAGATGCATCAAGCCCCGTGGAATGCAGGAAAAAAAGAACATGGAACTACTGAGATCTTGTTGAAATATTTTTAAAGAGGTTGCAGACTCTATGGGCCACTGGTCTCCCTGTCACTGCACAGACATAAAGATATTTTTCTCTTTAAAAATAAACCTATTACCATGCCTTATATACTACAGCCAGCAGTGGAAAGCTTCTCTGGATGTCCAAGTGATCTTTAAAGTAGTCCTGTTCTTTGACCAACAGACTTACCATATCCTCAGCAAAGTTTATCAACTGGCTGTATGTAAACCACTTCTGTAAATGGTTTCTTTTATGTAAAATCCAGTGAAATCATGGCCATTTTCTGTGAATCCTTCTCCGTGACATGGTCCATTAATGGGGCATCAAATATAATAACAGGATATGTTGTAGAAATCAATATTAGCCAGTTCACTGAATGTGGATTAAGCAGGGAATGAGATTGTGATTACAAAATACAGAGAAAGGAAGTCCAGTACTTTCTCAGCACTCAGACAGCATAGAATGGCCACCTTGGATTTATTGAAGTCATTTTATGCTCCTACATCACAGAATTTCAATAAGGTTCCAAGAAAACACACCAGAGGGTGCCATCAGCCCAATCTAAAGTTTATGTCCAATTTTTATCAAATCCTACTGATGGTTGGCAAAGTTGCAAAGGTAAATCAATAATCCACCTTTGCTTTTTCCTCGGTCATGCAGATTGCACCTTAGAGACCTAGAAAAATTGCAAACCTTTTCAAATGGGTACCAGCTCTTTTGACAGGTGAAATATTAAGTGGCAGGTCACTGAGGATGAAAAGAAAATAATAAATATGAACTGGATTGAATCTTTTTTCTTTGAGTAATGCAGTAAGGTTAAAAGGAAGACCCTGTTATAAGAAACTCAAAACTCCAAGTTAACTTAAAATATGGTGCCAAACAAACAAGGTAAACAAGTGAAGCAAAGAAATAAATATTTTAATATTACCAGTAGGATTTTCGTATGCTTGGAAAAGAAACGCTGTATAACATGTATAAGTAATCTTAATGTTCAGATCAATGGCATCATACCAAACAAAAGTCAAAATTGGGATAACATGCACAACCTCCCCATCCCTTTAACATACAAACATGCCAAGCTCTCTTGCTAACCTCTTCCTGGCAAAAAAAAAAAAAAAAAAAAAAAAAAAAAAAACTTGATCTTCCATTGGACATGTCTCTCCCCTGTAAAGTTTCATAACACATGGCTTCTGCAGTGAGACAAACACCATTCTGTGTCAATTTGGTTCATGGGTGATAAAAAATTGTAATTGCAAGGAATAAAAGATACGTGAAAGAAATCATGTTCTTTCACTTGCTGAGGAAAGCATTGTGTTTTGATACTGAGAGCAGCCAGCTCAATCTTATTTTAACTATACAAATTTTCAAAAATATTTTTATTCTTAAACCCTGCAAATGTATAAGTCTTAGATGTTCCAAAAAATCTAAATCTAAAAGCTTTTGAGTATCAATCTTCTATTCCAAAAGTACCTTGCCTTTTATAACAATCTTAAAAGACTAGAAACGTAAGTCATAGTACAAAATGACAGAAAATTGTTTAGAATTAATTAAACTGAGAATTACTCAGAACTGCTAAAATATTTGACAGCAGATTTTGAGCCCATTATCTGTAAATTTCCCTGTAAGTCTGCTGGGGGGGGGGGGGGGGGGGGGGCACTGCAATGTGTTCCAAAAGCTAACCTACAGGCACAGAGCACCTTAGAAAATATAATATCCTACAGATTCTTGGTTTTCCACTCTGAACACAAACTGGATGAACAGATACTTCAGGTCTGACAACAAACAAATTTCATTTGAAACACCTTTCTTGGAAGCAATATCTTCTCGAGTCCATTCATAAAAATCACATTACCTATTTCCAAAAACCCTCCAACATTTATTCATCATGAAAAAAATCAAAGCAAGGGCATATGTATTCACCTTCCAGCGCAGAAGAAATATGCACACTTTATCACTGACACTGAATGGAAGATCAATGAATGCCACTCCAGCAAATGATGTTAGATTATTCTATATTTCTAACTCAATATAATTCTAGTCTTCTTTAAATTTTCTACCCTCCAATCCATCTATTCCCTATCAGAATTACCCACCTTCTGTACATCGCAACTGGTTTTCAATTCTGTATCCTTCCATCCCAATTTCTGAAGAATAAAACTGACCATAACAGCCCACAAAGCCAGCCTGATATGACTAACAAACTATGTGCTTAGATCATACTGGAAGCTCCGGGACTATCAGCTCACAGTTCCTGCACTAGAGCACAATGTCAAAGTTTGCAAGGCTGAAGGAGAATTCTACTGTTCACCAGGTTGCTTCAAAGAAGAGAAATAAATTTGCCTGGTCATTCAACTAAACCTCCCTATAGATCAGGGCTAATTGCTGGGTCCTAGACAGACTTTCAAACCAAGGACAGAAACAAAATCCAAGCTGCGTAATATACAGATTGCAGGCCTTTCTGAGAACTCTCAATTTCCTGTTGTGGATGGTGCTCAGCCTTTTATCGATTGTGCTGAAATGGCAATCTAGCCACTACTTACAAGTCTATTATTGAGGAGGGTCCCTTGGGAACAAGCCTAGGTTATCTAGGGTATATATATATATGGCAACTATCACAAGGCAGTTTACTTGGCAACTTGAACTGTCACCAATTCTGATGAGGAATCTAGGTACCATCATAATGTATCCATTCTATTAAATCTATTTGTGAAAAATGCCTATTTATGCAACTGATACAGCAGAGAGAAAGGGTAAAGTGAGGTTGGAAGGGAGGATTTAAATGGGCCTTCCTATAATCTTATCTAAAATCATCCTCTATCATTTTGCTGATAAAATACCATTATAGATCCTCTGAGCAACTGGCTTTGAACATACATAAAAATCATTAATATGAGACAGTGAGTTCAATTTCTGATGATATATCTGCTGACAAGTTTTTAAAAGGCAAAAGACTGGTTTCAGTTCACACTAATTCCACGTGAAATATAGAGGAGAAGATACTAGAGAAAAAAAATTAATAGAATATACACTAGCTATAATCAAAAGATCCCGCTGTCTATTTCTAAGTTTGTCTTGCAAGGATAAGAAATATCTAAAAAAATATATAATAACTCAAGTTTATTTGTGTGATAACATAAAAGAATACTAATAATATTTTGATTTGATTATATAAATAGCTTTTTCTCTTCACTACCAGACTATAATCTGCAAACGTACTCAGGGCTAGTTAATGTTGCAAGCAGCAAACAGATACTGCAGCCTTGGACATATTTGTTTCCTCTTGTAACAGAGAAACCAAAACAATCATATTAGTGATTGCAGTGGGACCAAACCCTGGATCCGAATACTGTCAGCCATGCAGATGTACCATAGGAAGAGATTTAATAAAGACTATCAAGAGATATGTGTACCAGGCACACGTTCTTTTCCTACTTCTGGTGAGTTTACTCATGGGATGAATGGGGGCGTGAAACTTGCTGCACATGCAAATAGACCGTAGATACATGAATCCCAACAGAAAAAATGCCAGGTCCTGCTGTAAGTATTACAGAAAGATTGTGTGTTTTATGGTGCAGTGTTGCATGTTGCAACAGGCTGTTGAGAATATTTTCTGTTAAACTTGCTGTGTGCAAAACACTTGCAAACCCAGTGAGATATACCCTGTATTGAAAGAAGTATCTTGCGAAATCCCTCAACAGTAAACTTGAAACAATAAGCTAGCAGATATTAATATAAATATTAATTTTTATCCTCCAGATGGGCAGTTTTAACTCAAGGGAAAAAGGAAGGTGTGTGTGTGTGTGTGTGTGTGTGTGTGTGTGTGTGAGCTTGCATGCATGTACGCACATGTGTGACTATGTGTGCTATATTAATTAACAATGCAGGAAAACAAAAAGCACTATGATAGACCAAAGATTTGACTTACAAACCTTATTCCTCGAAATTTCTACTAACCTGAGACTCATTGGAGCTGTTTAAATCCAGGCCAATGTCTGTCAGCGAGCGAATGGAGCTGTTTCCTTGGCTGAGTGGTCGGTCTGGCGGAGACATCCCATTCCTGGCACCACTTGCTGTTTTGAAGATTAAGACACATTAAAAAATTAAAAATATCACAGATTTCACCTTAATTTCTACGCAGTATATTTGATAAATAACGAGGTGCCCTTGTCTTGTTTTCCATTTCATAACCCTCCATTTCCCAGAATATCCAGGCAAGCCATCCTGGCACTTTCCACTCCATACAGGGGTTCTTTAAAATAATTTAGCTTTGCATTATCTTCTTGTGTAATTTTGGAAATGCATATATCCTCTTACAGGTTATTAAAAATAAAGTTTTAAATCTCATGTTAGTAAAATAAATGTAGGTAATACAATCTGCCTTTTTTACGTTTCTGCTTATTATCAGTCACTGACATGTTATGATTCCATTAAATTTGTTTCCTTTTTGCTTTTTGATTTTGAAAACATTTCAATACAAATTCCTAACTTTTCCGTGCCATTTTCTGAGTGCAGGAGAGCAGAACATTTGATGCCTTTACACAGCTTGTCAACATCTCTTTACTGAGAGATGAAAAAAAACAACACCTTTTTAATTCTTTGATTAAAATGAGAAGCTTTCAGGTTTGCATGAGCCCAAGGAATAAGTTTTATCAATGCAACAAAGCTTGAGCCAGTTTAAAGGCCTTTTCACATGTAGCATAAATATCTTACGTCTTTTCTCACATAAAGCGGTAAAGTTTCCCATTTAGGAGACTTTCTTACTGAATAGGCATGCTCCTGAGTTGTCAGTCTAAAGTGTACCAGTACAGCCGTATTGATTAAGTATACAACTTGATGTGAAAAAGTCTGTAGATTATAGTTTATACAGGTTTAATACACAGATCAGACCTGACATTAATTAACATCAATCACTGACCATGAAAACAAGTTCTTTATGTAATAATAATAACTGATAATAAATGAGAGATAAATCTAAACATAACCCAAATGCCATAGGATGCAAGGTTAATTGCAATGTGACACCTGTATATCAAGTCCCCCTATCAGTCACTGTCCAAAACTTTAACAATCCATTACTTTAATAGACTAGAATGTGTAATACTTAAAAAATAAAAAAATTAACCCAACTCATAACATCAACTAAAATATTTTATATGCAATACAAAACATTCTAAAAAATTTTATTTTAAATGCATAAAAGATGCTGAATTTTTTTTTACATGAAAGGTAATACCTTCTCTGAATTATAGCCAGATGTTATAAAGAGGCATATTGTAGTCTTTCAAGTCACTGACTTTTGAAAACTCATGGTAGTAAAATAATACAACTGTAGTACAGTTGGCTACAAGGAAATTTATGTAGCACACATGCTGGTGGCATGATTACATAATTGGTTAATAGATGGCAGTAAAATGCCTATATAAAAAGCTTAAAGATGCAAGTGGACCTTTTAAAAACATCCTTCAAATGCAAACACCAAAGACCCACAGTTCCATATAGAAGATTAGAGGACCTTAAACACAACAGTTATACATTCAGATTTCCTAATAGATTTGTTAGACTTGTATTCCCAAAGCTTTAGGTCATTGTTTCTGGGAAAACCTACCTTCAGGACTCCCAATAATGTCAGTGGTGTAACTGCCAGCCCAGCTATGCCTGGGGTTCATGCCAGTGAGATCAGTGCCCGCACTGAGACTGCTGCTACTACCAGGGGACAGGGAGGCCGATGTCTTATGGTTGCCCAATTGTTTGTGGATGTAACCCTCTTCCTCTTCTGACTCCTCCGCTGCACTGTCTAGACTGCTCAGACTCATGCTGAAAAGCAAGGGCAATAAGATAAAGTGGACATATTTAGATATATGTACCGTGGTCAATATATATCTATATTTATATTGGTGTGTTCAGACAGGGAATCTGATCCTTGAAACAGGTCCAACTTGGGTCATCAGATGACCAGACTGCATACAGAGAATCATTCTTGATAACATAAGTTGGGTCCCTTTTTTCATCCAAAACAGATAATTGTGTATTATTCAGCTCAAGATTGTCACAGGCTTATCCATACTTGGAGCTAAGAAAGTTGTATCAAATTGTATTACCACTGGGCATCAAGTAAAATAGTTTACCACAAAATGAAAATGGTGATCGGATAATGGTTAACAATTCTAGTGACCAACACCTATACAAGGCCATAAACTTGTTAACTCCCAACCTTAAATCTTTTGAACCATTTATTGTTGTCATATTTCATGCCCAAATTAGTCATGAAGCATGTACCTATATAAATGCCTTGACATTATCCATGTTATAAACCCTGTATCTATTTAAAATGCTATCTCTATTGCCCTACCTGATAACATTACAGACAGATAGCAAGCAAACTGGATGTCACAACTGTAGCATTTTGTATATAACTTAGTACCATTAGATTTCAACAAATTAAATAAATAACCTTTGTCCTCCCCCATATTTATTGCCCATACAGACCAAACAGGAGTTTGAACAGGTGAGTCAACTTGTGTACAGAATTATTAGAAGATAGTATTATGTCACACACTCCAAATATCACCTTTAACAAAATTCAACATCTATACTGTTCCCACTACACTATTAAGAATTTTTCCAAACAAAGTATTAAGAATTATGAACAAAACATTATCTTGGAAAGTAAGAAGAGTGTGTGTAGCCTTAATATGTCAAGTACAAATGTGAGTCAAGACCTTAAAGAAAAACTGTTATGAAAATAACTCAATATGCCTTTTTCAGCTGAAAAGTATAAGAGGGGCAATATTTTAAAATAAGTGTGTTTTAGTCCACACAGTGGTACATATCTCTAGCTATTGAAATAGGTCAGTCTACTCAACCAATTTTCTTTCCGCATAAATCACTTATACTTCAGTGTGAAGCTTATTAAGGAAAAAAAGCCCCCGAGTCCAGACAGCAAACCAGAACCATCTGGTGTCTGAGTGTCCCCAACAGGGGCCATGTCCTCAGCTGAAGTGTTCTACACTCAGCTTGTTCAACAAATCAGGTGCACTGGCTCTTTGTTTTCATGTGGGTTGACTTATATTATTCTGCATTCAAAGTTTGTAATACAAAACTTCTGCAACAATTCTGCATTTCAATTTTAAATTTTAGATGACAGAGAACCTTTTTTCTCCTTTTCTCTATTTTTACAACTTCAATTTCAGAATGTGATTTGCACAAAAAATGAGATTAAATTAATTATAATAATTGCTTTACATAATAATTCATCAAAAATTAAGATATTCAAACACCTACCACAGCACAAACTTTTACAATCATTTCTCAAAAAGTACCCACCTTTTCCCACTGACAGCCAGTAATTTATTCCTAAACTGCTGCTTCTCCACAGACATGCCCATCACGTGATGCGACCAGCGACGTTGTTTTGGTTTAACATTCTTANCTCTATCATTTTGCTGATAAAATACCATTACAGATCCTCTGTGCAACTGGCTTTGAACATACATAAAAATCTTTAATATGAGACAGTGAGTTTGAATTCTGATGATGTATCTGCTGACAAGTTTTTAAAAGGCAACAGACTGGTTTCAGTTCACACTAATTCCACGTGAAATATAGAGAAGATACTAGAGAAAAAAATTAATAGAATATACACTAGCTATAATCAAAAGATCCCGGTGTCTAAGTTTGTCTTGCAAGGATAAGAAATATCTAAAAAACATATAATAACTCAAGTTTATTTGTGTGATAACATAAAAGAATACTAATCATATTTTGATTTGATTATATAAATAGCTTTTTCTCTTCACTACCAGACTATAATCTGCAAACGTACTCGAGGCCAGTTAATGTTGCAAGCAGCAAACAGATACTGCAGCCTTGGACATATTTGTTTCCTCTTGCAACAGAGAAACCAAAACAATCATATTAGTGATTGCAGTGGGACCAAACCCTGGATCCGAATACTGTCAGCCATGCAGATGTACCATAGGAAGAGATTTAATAAAGACTATCAAGAGATATGTGTACCAGGCACACGTTCTTTTCCTTCTTCTGGTGAGTTTACTCATGGGATGAATGGGGGCGTGAAACTTGCTGCACATGCAAATAGACCGTAGATGCATGAATCCCAACAGAAAAATGCCAGGTCCTGCTGTAAGTATTACAGGAAGATTGTGTGTTTTATGCTGCAGTGTTGCATGTTGCAACAGGCTGTTGAGAATATTTTCTGTTAAACTTGCTGTGTGCAAAGCACTTGCAAACCCAGTGAGATACACCCTGTATTGAAAGAAGTATCTTGCGAAATCCCTCAACAGTAAACTTGATACTAGAAGCTAGCAGATATTAATATAAATATTAATTTTCATCCTCTAGATGGGCAGTTTTAACTCAAGGGAAAAAGGAAGGTGTGTGTGTGTGTGTGTGTGTGTGTGTGTGTGTGTGTGTGTGTGTGTGTGAAAGCTTGCATGCATGTACGCGCATGTGTGACTATGTGTGTTGTATTGATTAACAATGCAGGACAACAAAAAAGCACTAAGATAGACCAAAGATTTGACTTACAAACCTTATTCCTCAAAATTTCTACTAACCTGAGACTCATTGGAGCTGTTTAAATCCAGGCCAATGTCTGTCAGCGAGCGAATGGAGCTGTTTCCTTGGCTGAGTGGTCGGTCTGGCGGAGACATCCCATTTCTGGCACCACTTGCTGTTTTGAAGATTAAAACACATTAAAAAATTAAAAATATCACAGATTTCACCTTAATTTCTACGCAGTATATCTGATAAATAACGAGGTGCCCTTGTCTTGTTTTCCATTTCATAACCCTCCATTTCCCAGAATATCCAGGCAAGTCATCCTGGCACTTTCCACTCCATACAGGGGTTCTTTAAAATAATTTAGCTTTGCATTATTTTCTTGTGTAATTTTGGAAATGCATATATCCTCTTACAGGTTATTAACAATAAAGTTTTAAATCTCGTGTTAGTAAAATAAATGTAGGTAATACAATCTGCCTTTGTACTTTTCTGCTTATTATCAGTCATTGACATGTTATGATTCCATCAAATTTGTTTCCTTTTTGCTTTTTGATTTTGAAAACATCTCAATACAAATTTTCTGAGTGCAGGAGAGCAGAACATTTGATGCCTTTACACAACTTGTCAACATCTCTTTACTGAGAGATGAAAAAAAAACACCTTTTTAATTCTTTGATTAAAATGAGAAGCTTTCAGGTTTGCATGAGCCCAAGGTATAAGTTTTATCAATGCAACAAAGCTTGAGCGAGTTTAAAGACCTTTTCACATCTAGCATAAATATCTTAGTTCTTTTCTCACATAAAGTGGTACAGTTTCCTATTTAGGAGACTTTCTTACTTAATAGGCATGCTCCTAAGTTGTCAGTCCTTAAAGTGTACCAGTACAGCCATATTGATTAAGTATACCACTTGATATGAAAAAGTCTGTAGATTATAGTTTATACAGGTTTAATAGACAGATCAGACCTGACATTAATTAACATCAATCACTGACCATGAAAACAAGTTCTTTATATAATAATGATAACTGATAATAAGTGAGAAATAAATCACCTGTATATCTAGTCCCCCTATCAGTCACTGTCCAAAACTTTTAACAATCCATTACTTTAATAGACTAGAATGTGTAATACTTAAAAAATAAAAAAATTAACCCAACTCATAACATCAACTAAAATATTTTATATGCAATACAAAACATTCTAAAAATGTTTATTTTAAATGCATAAAAGATGCTGAAATTTTTTTTAACATGAAAGGTAATACCTTTTCTGAATTATAGCCAGATGTTATAAAGAGGCATATTGTAGTCTTTCAAGTCACTAACTTTTGAAAACTCATGGTAGTATAATAATACAACTGTAGTACAGTTGGCTAGAAGGAAATTTATGAAACATGTATGCTTGAGGCACGATTATATAACTGGTTAATAGATGGCAGCACAATGCCTATATAAAAAGCTGAAAGATGCAAGTGGACCTTTTATAAAACATACTACAAATGCAAACTCCAAGGGCCCACAGTTTCATATAGAAGATTAGAGGGCCTTAAACACAACATTTATACATCCACATTTCCAAACAGATTTGTTAGACTTTCATCCCCAAAGCTTTAAGTCATTGTTTCTAGGAAAACCTACCTTCAGGACTCCCAATAATGTCAGTAGTGTAACTGCCAGCCCAGCTATGCCTGGGGTTCATGCCAGTGAGATCAGTGCCAGCACTGAGACTGCTGCTACTACCAGGGGACAGGGAGGCCGACGTCTTATGGTTGCCCAATTGTTTGTGGATGTAACCCTCTTCCTCTTCTGACTCCTCCGCTGCACTGTCTAGACTGCTCAGACTCATGCTGAAAAACAAGGGCAATAAGATAAAGTGGACATATTTAGATATCTGTACCGTGGTCAATATATATCTATATTTATATTGGTGTGTTCAGACAGGGAATCTGATCCTTGAAACAGGCCCAACTTGGGTCATCATATGACCAGACTGCATATAGAGAATCATTGCTTGATAACGAAAGTTGGGTCCCTTTTTTCATTCAAAACAGGTAATTGTGTATTATTCAGCTCAAGATTGTCAGAGGCGTATCCATACTTGGAGCTACGAAAGTTGTATCAAATTGTATTACCACTGGGCATCAAGTTGAATAGTTTACCACAAAATGAAAATGGTAATCTGATAATGGTTAACAATTCTAGTGACCAACACCTATACAAAGCCATCAACTTGTTAACTCCCAACCTTAAATCTTTAAACCATTTATTGTTGTCATATTTCATGCCTAAATTAGTCATGAAGCACGTACCTATAGAAATATCTTGACATTATCCATGTTATAAACCCTGTATCTATTTAAAATGCTATCTCTATTGCCCTACCTGATAACATTACAGACAGATAGCAAGCAAACCGAATGTCACAACTGTAGCATTTTGTATATAACTTAGGCAGCACAGACCATTAGATTTCATCAAATTAAATAAATGACCTTTGTCCTCCCCCATATTTATTGCCCATATAGACCAAACATGAGTTTGAACAGGTGAGTCAACTTGTGGACAGAATTAGAAGATAGTATTATGTCACACTCCAAATATCACCTTTAACAAAATTCAAAATTCAAACTATGGTTTCTCACTTACAACAACTATCTATTCGAATTTTTCCAAACAAAGTATTAAGAATTATGAACAAAACATTATCTTGGAAAGTAATAAAGTGTGTGTGTAGCATTAATATGTCAAGTACAAATGTGAGTCAAGACCTAAAAGAAAAACTGTTATGAAAATAACTCAATATGCCTTTTTCAGCTGAAAAGTATAAGAGGGGCAATATTTTAAAATAAAAGTGTGTTTTAGTCCACACAATGCTACATGTATATCTCTAGCTATCGAAATAGGTCAGTCTACTCAACCAATTTTCTTTCCGCATAAATCACTTATACTTCAGTGTGAAGCTTATTAAGGAAAAAAAGCCCGAGTCCAGACAGCAAACCAGAACCATCTGGTGTCTGAGTGTCCCCAACAGGGGCCATGTCCTCAGCTGAAGTGTTCTACACTCAGCTTGTTCAACAAGTCAGTTGCACTGGCTCTTTGTTTTCATGTGGGTTGACTTATATTATTCTGCATTCAAAGTTTGTAAAACAAAACTTCGGCAACAATTCTGCATTTCAATTTTAAATTTTAGATGACAGAGAACCTTTTTTCTCCTTTCCTCTATTTTTACAACTTCAATTTCAGAATGTGATTTGCACAAAAAATGAGATTAAATTAATTATAATAATTGCTTTACATAATAATTCATCAAAAATTAAGATATTCAAACACCTACCACAGCACAAATTTTTACTGATCATTTCTCAAAAAGTACCCACCTTTTCCCACTGACAGCCAGTAATTTATTCCTAAACTGCTGCTTCTCCACAGACATGCCCATCACGTGATGCGACCAGCGACGTTGTTTTGGTTTAACATTCTTGTGAGGTGTATTTTCCTCTAAAGTACCAGTGGTCCCAGCAGACGGAGAGGTTTCTTGGTACAAATCCTTACTATGCATCACTGGGTCCAGCACATCATAATTATCCTCTGAGCTATCCACTGTTACATCGTTAATTCTAATTTTCACTCCCTCGTCAATGTTTCTCATATCTGATGCTGTGTTTGTACTGTGATTCTGAGCACTGTTTCTTACAGAGGGGTATTGACTAAGCTCTTCAGAGTCATTTGCGGGATAATCCACTTCGTCTTCGTCGTCGTCTTCCTCCTCCTCCTCTTCAACCTGATCATCACGCTCCTCACCTATATTCAGCATGGACTGGTGGTGGTCTAGAAAGAAGAAAAAAAAAACAATAATGATGCAACTATAACAACATCTTCAATAAAGGTCTCACATAATGAGACTTCTTAGCTGTCTCTCTCTCTCTCCCTTCACCTGTTGGTGTGTATGTGCGTGTGCCTATGCTGCATGCATGGATAATTAGCTTATTGTACATCAAATGTCTGAAAGAGTCCCTTACATTAAATGAGGTAACTTTAAAATATGTGATTTAAACATTATTACATTATTATAAAGTTCTTTGTAATATAATAAAACAGCATTTTTACCATATGTATATCATGTATGTTTTCTCATGGAATATAACAAATATTTCAAAGATCATTACAAGTGCCTGCTACAAATCAAGTTCACTTCTCAATAAACTACAGTTAATCCTCCCAAATTTGAATATATGCACGTAACTTGTACTAGGATATTTTGAATTATGCATGGAGGTGATAGGCTATGTTCACATCCTGCCACCCTTAGACTGGATATGGTCCAACTGATATGAGCAGAGGACCAGGTAACCAAATTAGTCCCATTGTGAACAAGTCTTAGCAGTTACTAAGAGGAGTTATGTGCCTTGTCGGATAAAGCTCTGGAATTTTGACAAAGGTGGCTTGTACCTGTTTTTTCTCTAAATAGTCCTTGTTCAGTTTTCTGATCTTTCAGTACACAGTTCATTGGTGTTTAACTATGAAAATATACACCAGAAAACAACTTTTGAAATATACCTGTGGCACTAATGGGGATTTACCACCCCGCATGGAAAAGAGATAAATGTCAATGTAGTCAAAAAAAATTGTTCACTTAGAAATGGAAAGTTTGACATTATCAGGTATCTGGATGCTATCTCATCTTTTCCCTCGATAAAAATGTTAAATAGACATAAAAAAGATCAATCTCATCAATGCCATTGTTACAGCAACTTTTCTTAATCATCAGCAACAAATACTTTCCTACTTCCTGGTTTCCACCTTGTTAGATTTTCAGTTTCACTTATGACTAAATTAACGTGAAAATACTTGCCAAAACACAGCATTAATAAAGATTTACAGCATACTTAAAGTACACTAGACCTTTGGTGAAAACTTTATAGATATATTTGAGATCAGAATCATCTTAAAGGCCACACACACCTTAATTCTCCAAAGGTCTTGAACCTTAGAATACCTGTGTTATAGAGATATCTCAAGAAGATTAAAAAAAAAACACTCATAAAACTTTCCAGATTAATGACAGTAAATATTTACAACCTTGGCTCATTAATTATGTCACTTACCAAGTTGTACAGGTAAAATCAAACTAGATGTCAATTTTTGAAGAAACTAATACCAACAACTTCTAAAAATATGTGTCTTTGTCATTTCTTGTGTCATCAACAGAATTAATTTCCGTAAAGTCTAAAAAAAGAACTGTGGATTAATACCTCCTACAAAACCACACACAGACTCCATATACATGGTTGTTTATTCTATAAAATAATACACAACCCACACCACAATAACACACAACCTACACCACAAATGACTGTCATTATAGTATTGCTAATTTCTGAGTCACCTTCCCAAGTGTTTCATCTTCATCCAGCTAAATAAACTACTCCCCTACTTGAGAACACCATGAACACTGTGAACTGTAGAGCAGGCAGCTGTACTCTTTTCTGTCTTGACAAAATAAAGGGTTTTGTTCAGCTTACTAACAGAATGGCTTTCAAGCAAGCTGTGCCTTTAAAGGATGCTATATATTGTATGATATTGCTCCAGTAGTCTGAAACTGTTTTACTGTAAAGTGTTCCTTTTTTCTAGCACATCCAAGTGCATCACTATTTTCATTTTAATGCAAATAATGCAACAGTCCCGAAAATGAAGATAGGCTGCTAAAACAATGTGACTTCAAAAGCTTGAATTGTTGTGTCTGTCTCTATGGAAAAGCACATTCCAAGCTGATTTCTGTCAGGTTGCCAACACCTGGTTATTGTGTCTCAAGATGAATATTATCACAATTTTTTTGAGTGCTAAAAAAATGGGAAGGGACTTTCCTTTCACTGAATTTCATGTTTTTTACATCCATACAAAATTCAGAAAATGTTTTAAATCTCCTGTACACACGAAAAACCAGAATCCTCTAAAAGAAGGAAAACTCCAATCCCTGCCCTACTCAGCCTGACTCTACTGCAAACTTATAATGATAATGATGATAAAACATGAATAATACAAAGAGAAATTAAAAAAAAAAACCTTACACATGAAGTATCAGAAAATGTCCTTTTTCTCTAAATCACTGAGAGATCCAGGAATTCTCTCTGTAAATGATTGCTATTCAAACTGACTGATTTTCTAAATATTCAACCAAAGCATTCGAATACATTTGTGCCACAGTCACTGCTACAATTCACCATGGCAACCAGTTATCCTGCAATCACCCTGTTGTCTATAATGTGAATAAGGTCACTTTAAACCAAAGTCACCCACAGACCGCAGTTCACTGGTCATAATTTTTCATAAACTCATCTTTCAGAAGTCAAAAATTCGGAACTAGAAGAACTAACCACAACTTACCCATTTTGGCAAAGCTATTTTAGACCACCTGCCATCAAGAGTCATGATAATCTGTAATGTATCATTGCAAAAGGGGGTAAATATTGTAATGCATACATCGACCCCCACCTTTGAAGTTTTCAAAAAATGGTTTAGTTCATATATATCCTTTTTACGATCCATGACAGTAGACAATGGAAATATTTCCATATCAATTTGATGTGGCATCACTGAAAGCTTTTAAGCACTGTGCTTGTCAACACAAATCTAACTTAAGCAAAGAAGGGGGATTTTAATAGTTTCTTTCAGGGATTTAATTTCCTAAATCCTGTTATTAACTTCTCAATCCATCATTTAGTTCACAATTCCAGACTCATTTGTCAGTGATTATGCCTTACCCATCTTGTAAATGCTCAATCTTCCAGCAGGTGACTTGGAATGGCCAACATTGTGTCAAATAACCATTTCTGAGAAATTTTAACTACTTCAATTTTTTTATTTAAAAAAACTGTTGTTAATTTAACATTTTTTCTACAATAACCTTGTACCAATTTTCATGATTTTGATGATACTTGTCAATTTTTCTTAAAGTTCTTGAGAATTAATTTGGCATAGGTTTAATACCTACCATTCCCCATTCTACCTTGCTATAATTTTTTAAGTTATAAGAAGACATCTACTAGTTGACGAAATACAGCTTCGAAATAAATTATTGTTACAAAGTGAATTTGAAGTGTCTGCTGTCAAAAAAGTACAAAACCAGGTCATAAAGCAAAACATGTAAAGCACTAAAAAGAGTGCTCTGACCTCTGAAGACATCCATTATTCACAACTAGGGAGTGGGAGTGTGTTCAAATAATGATAGCAGTTACTTCATTAGCTTCACAGGTTGTTTATAATGTATGCCTAGAGGTAAATGAAGCACATTTGTTTTCGGGCAAAGCTGTTTTGTCCCTGCATAAATGTACACTATCTTTTTGATTCCCCCTACCCCTGCTTAATTCATTTCAATGAAAGAACATTGTCTAGTTTTAAATGGAAGATAATCATATTGATACCAGATTGGCAGTTAATATTTAGCTTGTTACATAAAATAACTTGCCATATTGGTATTAACCTTATCCTTCCATTTCCTTCTCATCCAAAAATATCATGATTCTTTCAATTCATTTCACTTTTCAATTATTTGGTCAGGTCTTCATTTCTTACTTAGGTAAAAACCAGCAGATTTATATTACCAAAAATGTAGTCAGGTCAAGAGAAAAACATTATAATACACTTACTGTGTATATTAACCATCACTGTGAATGCAAAACAACANTAAAAAACACTCATAAAACTTTCCAGATTAATGACAGTAAATATTTACAACCTTGGCTCATTAATTATGTCACTTACCAAGTTGTACAGGTAAAATCAAACTAGATGACAATTTTTGAAGAAACTAATACCAACAACTTCTAAAAATATGCGTCTTTGTCATTTCTTGTGTCATCAACAGAATTAATTTCCGTAAAGTCTAAAAAAAGAACTGTGGATTAATACCTCCTACAAAACCACACACAGACTCCATATACATGGTTGTTTATTCTATAAAATAATACACAACCCACACCACAATAACACACAACCTACACCACAAATGACTGTCATTACAGTATTGCTAATTTCTGAGTCACCTTCCCAAGTGTTTCATCTTCATCCAGCTAAATAAACTACTCCCCTACTTGAGAACACCATGAACACTGTGAACTGTAGAGCAGGCAGCTGTACTCTTTTCTGTCTTGACAAAATAAAGGGTTTTGTTCAGCTTACTAACAGAATGGCTTTCAAGCAAGCTGTGCCTTTAAAGGATGCTATATATTGTATGATATTGCTCCAGTAGTCTGAAACTGTTTTATTGTAAAGTGTTCCTTTTTTCTAGCACATCCAAATGCATCACTATTTTCATTTTAATGCAAATAATGCAACAGTCCCGAAAATGAAGATAGGCTGCTAAAACAATGTGACTTCAAAAGCTTGAATTGTTGTGTCTGTCTCTATGGAAAAGCACATTCCAAGCTGATTTCTGTCAGGTTGCCAACACCTGGTTATTGTGTCTCAAGATGAATATTATCACAATTTTTTTGAGTGCTAAAAAAATGGGAAGGGGCTTTCCTTTCACTGAATTTCATGTTTTTTACATCCATACAAAATTCAGAAAATGTTTTAAATCTCCTGTACATACAAAAAACCAGAATCCTCTAAAAGAAGGAAAACTCCAATCCCTGCCCTTCTCAGCCTGACTCTACTGCAAACTTAATGATAATGATGATATAACATGAATAATACAAAGAGAAATTAAAAAAAAAAAAACTTACACATGAAGTATCAGAAAATGTCCTTTTTCTCTAAATCACTGAGAGATCCAGGAATTCTCTCTGTAAATGATTGCTATTGAAACTGATTGATTTTCTAAATATTCAACCAAAGCATTCGAATACATTTGTGCCACAGTCACTGCTACAATTCACCATGGCAACCAGTTATCCTGCAATCACCCTGTTGTCTATAATGTGAATAAGGTCACTTTAAACCAAAGTCACCCACAGACCGCAGTTCACTGGTCATAATTTTTCATAAACTCATCTTTCAGAAGTCAAAAATTCGGAACTAGAAGAACTAACCACAACTTACCCATTTTGGCAAAGCTATTTTAGACCACCTGCCATCAAGAGTCATGATAATCTGTTATGTATCATTGCAAAAGGGGGTAAATATTGTAATGCATACATCCACCCCCACCTTTGAAGTTTTCAAAAAATGGTTTAGTTCATATATTCTATATCCTTTTTACGATCCATGACAGTAGACAATGGCAATATTTCCATATCAATTTGATGTGGCATCACTGAAAGCTTTTAAGCACTGTGCTTGTCAACACAAATCTAACTTAAGCAAAGAAGGGGGATTTTAATAGTTTCTTTCAGGGATTTAATTTCCTAAATCCTGTTATTAACTTCTCAATCCATCATTTAGTTCACAATTCCAGACTCATTTGTCAGTGATTATGCCTTACCCATCTTGTAAATGCTCAATCTTCCAGCAGGTGACTTGGAATGGCCAACATGGTGTCAAATAACCATTTCTGAGAAATTTTAACTACTTCATTTTTTTTATTTAAAAAACTATTGTTAATTTAACATTTTTTCTACAATAACCTTGTACCAATTTTCATGATTTTGATGATACTTATCAATTTTTCTTAAAGTTCTTGAGAATTAATTTGGCATAGGTTTAATACCTACCATTCCCCATTCTACCTTGCTATAATTTTTTAAGTTATAAGAAGACATCTACTAGTTGACGAAATACAGCTTTGAAATAAATTATTGTTACAAAGTGAATTTGAAGTGTCTGCTGTCAAAAAAGTACAAAACCAGGTCATAAAGCAAAACATGTAAAGCACTAAAAAGAGTGCTCTGACCTCTGAAGACATCCATTATTCACAACTAGGGAGTGGGAGTGTGTTCAAATAATGATAGCAGTTACTTCATTAGCTTCACAGGTTGTTTATAATGTATGCCTAGAGGTAAATGAAGCACATTTGTTTTCGGGCAAAGCTGTTTTGTCCCTGCATAAATGTACACTATCTTTTTGATTCCCCCTACCCCTGCTTAATTCATTTCAATGAAAGAACATTGTCTAGTTTCAAATGGAAGATAATCATATTGATACCAGATTGGCAGTTAATATTTAGCTTGTTACATAAAATAACTTGCCATATTGGTATTAACCTTATCCTTCCATTTCCTTCTCATCCAAAAATATCATGATTCTTTCAATTCATTTCACTTTTCAATTATTTGGTCAGGTCTTCATTTCTAACTTAGGTAAAAACCAGCAGATTTATATTACCAAAAATGTAGTCAGGTCAAGAGAAAAACATTATAATACACTTACTGTGTATATTAACCATCACTGTGAATGCAAAACAAAACCACTGCCACTTAAACTTCCATCAAATCCTATGACCCTCAGTCTTTTCTTTGAGCAAAAAGGACAGACGCCTGCCTCTTACTAACACCTTTTTTTCTCTCTCTCTCAGGTCTTCAAAGTCAGAAACAAACCAGTGTCACCCCTGTTAAGTTTGACAAACTGCCTGCCTAGGGGAAACTATGATAAAAATCAGAAGTCATGTTGAGTTTAGGTTGTTTGACTTCAGCAGAAGGGCCTATTGTTCTCAGCACTGCCATGTATGTGAAAAGAGGAGTTATCAGTGAGTCCATCTCCCACCCCAGGAGCTTTAGTGTGCCAATATGGTGGCAGCCATTGAACAACCTGTGCGGTACTGTTTCTGCAGCCAGCTTGACAATGGTGTTATGCTTTGACCCCGGATCCCAAGATATCGCCGTGTGCTTTTCTTATAAAGAACTGACTTAAAACAGAATCAAGATTCAACTTCTACTTGTACAAAGTCCATCTAATTGGTTGTTTGAACTCAGAAAATGATGAGAACGAAGCACTAGATGCTTTCTTTGATAACACTTTAGAATGTGACACCAGACAAAATAAAAATGATAACCTAATTTAATTATCCTGAAAAACATTCACATACCTTTTAACTAGGACTCATAACAGCTCACAAACCAGACCTCCTTTTTAAAATATTCAGTGTTATTCCTTGCCCTACATCTATCCAATAAACTACCTTTCCTGACAGTACAGCTAATATGCACAGGTAAGTACTGCACTGCAAAGTAATTAAGCCCCCACTAACCAATTTACATAATTAAAACAGATCTCCTCTGCTCTATTAATCATGGCAGTTACCACAACAATATTAAGTGTGCTGTGTATTAGGCAGAAAATACAAAGAGAGAGTCATTCACAATTGAAAGCATTCTCCTGGTTAACAGACAAGATCTTGTCTCAGGTTATTCGTAAAAAGACTGCATACCTATAAAATCATCCCAAAAGACTTGCCGAGTCTTTAATTTAAAAATATCAAATCAAAAGTATACACATCTCAAAAATACAAAAATTATTGAAAACAAGCGAATAATTTTTGAAACAAAATTTCAAAATTTTCCTATATGATTTTTAATTGTAGAGGGTGGATATTACCCTAGATTTTACAACAGGATTTCTATTGTATACATGTACTTACACATAGTCAATACTGCAATGAAGAAAACAGCCTTGAGAACAGTGGATCATTTCCAGCTGTGTCTGGGGTTTTATCACCACCTTACTGGCCGATGATTCCCATTTAGATCACAGAGTGATGATAAAGTGATGCCTATGGACTGTTTCCATAAGTCACATACTCAGCTATTGATTCTGCTTAAAACAAGTAACACATCAGTTTCCAATTTACAGTGACATATTATGACAACCAATTCCCGCTGAGACCAGGAGATAGCACCTAGCAGTGACATCAGTCTATCTTACTGTTACCTTCATATTCTCTCCATCTTGCTGTGTCCATATAGCCTGGGAGGTGGTTTTACCACATTTCTTTTAATGGCTTTCCTACATGCTATATACAATATATGACACAGATGTAGGAATACCCATCTGCCATTTTTAATATGAACTGCCCTGTCATAAAAACAAAAATTTTTCAGTCTATTAAATGCACAAAATGTCATCACACACATATACATGCGCGTGTACACGCACACATGCATGCCTTAGAAAATGGTGTACTTCTGAACCTACCTTCAAATTCTTTTAACTAAAATACCTCCTGATCTCCTAGTTTGATCTAATTATCTTCTTTAAACTTATCTTTGTATAATGCCATCTAACTACATTTATACAATTCAACACGTAAATAACAGGCAATACACAAACTGTCCACAATGACAGTTCGACCCACCTTGAGAATGAGTCATCCAATTAGTTATCAACCACCAAGAAGTGACAACCAGGGACAGAGCTGCAGACAGTGTTCCCAAATAGAAACACATAGATCTGGTTCCAGGAAGGCTGGATGGCATTGATATGCAGCTGACACCAAGTAACGGGAAGACCATGAAAGGTTTTACCACAACTGAAGACTTAGTCAACAATTTCGACACAGTTAATGGCTTCCCTATTCACTTCTATGCAAAACTGTGTCAAGGTTTTAAGTGTGACGTCTAGGTGTGGCCATGTTCCCAAAAAACAACTTGAACTGTTTTTGAAACAGCATGGAATAAAGTGAAAAGTAATTCAGCCCACAGCTGGAAACCCCAGATCTGATGCCTTACAATTCCTGAATAATTCAAACTCTGAGATCTGAATGCAATACACTATACACCAGTAGCTTAGAGAAATGCACTCCACTCAACTGGTGCAATATGACCTCAACAAGAGAGAAGCATGAAGCCCTGGTTACAAGTGACAGGCTAAAAGAATGAAATGTAAATTAAATTATGATGCTTACCTTGCAAACATGCTCAAACAGTGATTCTGCACTATAATGCAACAACGGAAATTCTTCTCACTGTACCTCATATCACCTCATACACTCTAGACAAATTGTCCTCATCACATCAGGGACAATGAAGCCACTCTTCCACTACTACAACAGCTCATTTCCACAGGGAACACCAGTGCAGCTTAATAACCTTGAGAGCTTGAAAGTCCCTGGAGATTGACTTTATTGACTTGGTTTACCTATTCTATCCAGGCAAGTGCGGTGAATGTCAATTAGACACTGCCTGTCCTTTTTTTATTATATGTATATATTCTCAATAGCCATTTAATATGAAGGTTCATAAAAACTATTAGGTGTGCGGTAAGTGAAATAGCTGTGGCTGACCTGAATATATTGACTTGTTTACTTTGGTGTGCAGGCAAATGGTCTTTTTTATGGGGATGTTTTTCATGAGAAAAATATAAATAAAATTTATTATCTCTTATTTATGTGCTGCTCTTGTTTTTACTTTTCATAATCCCTCTATTTTCTTTTATTTCTCTTTTTTATTCATATAAATCTGTAGCTAACAACTTTTTTCACTTAAAATTACATTTTCTCTAAAAAGACTTATTCTAACCTGTTCTTCATTTCCAGACACTAAAAAAACTGGGAAAGATTTTTGCTATAAGAACACTAGAAGCCATACAAACTGATGGATTGCTGTACTCTTTATGGGTCATTTCTGTTTCATAAACCCAGACACTAGCTCACAGCAAAGTTTTTTTAGAAATAGATCATTTTCAACTTGTCTAGTGACATGTCCTTGGGAGATGATACTCTGATTACAGATCTGAAATTATCCAGCAAACCAAGACTAGCTTTCTCACAGAACCACAGGCCAGACCAACCTGGCATAGCCCTTAATTAAATCAAATCAGATGGAACATCCATATTTTTAAGCCCTTGCAAGGTTAAAAATATCTTTATCCTCTGAGATTAAGACTAATAGGAGGACATAGGGATAGATTCTGCCATCCAGGCTGGCAGTCTCCTCTTCAGGTTAAATGTTTTCCTAATTTAAACCAGAAATCAAAATGTAAAATTTTATCTATTCTGTGTACTAAACATTTCCAGGAAAACCCAGGAAGCTAACTTAATTTGCCCTTGCATTTATCCACACACATAAATAATGGAAGAACTAGAATTTCATCACAAGGAGGGAAGCAATTGTTCCAGATGCACCTCACTATCAAATGTGATTGTGATCAAACAGTCTCAACTAACACATCAATCACAAAAAGGAACCAATCACAAAATGTCCATACAGCTTCACCTAGTGTTGATAAAGCACAGTGAACAGATCCGTGTGGAAATCCGTCTTTCATCATGCTTTATCTAAACTGCATCTACTTTATAACTTAGTATAGTACTTCCAGGAACAAGATTTAAGACAAGCCTAATTTGACTTTGATTTTCAACCAAAAAAAAAAAAAAACTCAAAGGGATAAACCACCACTTACCATTGTACTTGTATGGGACTTCAGGATCAGCCAGGGAAGGGCAGGATGTGCTGAACCGGTTCAAGCTGTCACGTCGTTCCTCCTGAAAAAGAAAAAAATGCTTTAAAATCTATGCCAATTTTATTGTCTGTCTAACACAAGCTTCCACTCCATGCCACTTACACCCCTTAGACCACATTTTCTCCCTTTCTTTTCCTTGATTCCTGTGCCATTCCAATGTCTTACCTTTCCTTAAGTTTTTTTACTACATTATTATGAATTGCCTTCCCATTCTTGCATTAACCAAGCTTCCTTTACAAATCCCAAGTACGATTACACCCCCTTCCCTCCCTTTTTCAACCTCTTCTCCACATTGAAACCTCCTAATTTGTAATTCTATCACTCATTCTTTACAGGCTAAGTAATTTCCTACACTTGTACATGTGATCCATATCCCCTCGTCCATTTCCATGCTGCCACCCAGAAAATCTGTCCCCTATCGTAGCGCCTGGCTCAGTTACACAGGCACATCTACATGGAGCCTTTGAACATGTCAAGTGTGCTGTATTAGCATTTATTGCTCCAGCAGCACAGATAACATTCAGCAGGAGCACATGAAGGAATGCAGGGAGGAACAACATTAGCTGAACATTTTGTTTACCAATGAAGGTTTTTTCACCCTAACGTGACTTTCCTGGTATTAACTTTATTGGCCTTTTTACAACACATTTTGGCATCTCGTACATCAATTTTTCATCTAAGAGACAAAATGTACCGAGTTCCGAGTTCCGTCTTGGCTAAAATGTTCTCGTTTTCAAGCAAAACAGGTGTTGATAATCAATCAAGATTTTTTTCATTTGCATCACGATACTTACAAGTTTTCTTGACAAAAAAGAGGATGGCATATTTATTATCCGCAGTTTTAAAAAAATCATCTTAAATAGTCTCTATTCTTTTGAAGCAATATATTTTATTGGCCTTAGTCATACACTGCATTATGTCACAGATAATAAATGTATATTGAAAAATTGCCTCCTTCATTCCTAAGTAAATATCAGGAGATTGTGCAGTAGACAGAAATCAAAGAGATTTACCTGATATTTGGGACAAAATTATTTACACACTTAAATGTAATCTATCTATGTCACAGTAAAATGTTGACTTGAGACAAAGACAAGGAGCAAAGTGTTTTATCATTCTCTTAAACTGTCATACACATTTCATGAAAAAAAAAATTCAACATTTCATAAATCCTAGGTAGATTAAAGCAAAAACTTTTATATCTGTGTAGGTTTAAAGAAGGACCTAGCATCTTCCATTATTTGCTGTCAAGCACTTGATAATTATTGATAAGTAGAGCAGGTGAAGTTTTCAATACAAGCAAACATTTCATAAGCAGTCAAATTTCAACTCCTTATAAAGCAGAGAAGCTGTCTTCCAGGGATAAATGGTCTAGGTAAAATGTTATTAGCTGACAGGCAAACAAGCCAAGGGGCATAAACTTTAACTATGGAATGGGGGGCTTTGAGTCACACAACGTGCAAGGTACATCTAAGATGCTTATGTAAGATTCACCCTGTCAACAAGGAACGAGATTCTTTTGCAAGAAAAAAGTCCTCGTCATTACCTGCAATTCTCCCCTAATACATCCTGTCACATCCCGACATGGTTTCATCATTAAGTTAATGGAATCCATAACTCAAATGCAAGTCTAACAATAAAATGCACTATAATGCTGACATATTTTCTGAAACAAGACACTTACAAAACCATTAATTGATTCAACTAGGATTCCAATTGCAATTTTGTATGCAGCTGTTTTGCAAAAGGTAGTGGCAACCCTTGATGGTAAATGCAGAAATAAACAAAACTTTGGGGTAGTCTTTAACCTAAGCTGTCAATACCAAAGACAGACACAGATGTCGTCAGGTGCTTCTTCCTCTTTCTTTATCCGTTTGGTATTTCATCACACAATGTTTTACTGTTCAAGGAGGTCAAAAAGGCACTGATAGGACATTTAAGTTAAATAGTTCTGATCTAATTCCCTATGAAAGAGGGGCAATATATTCTCCCCTTTCCCCCCCCCCCCCCCCCCCTCAAACACACACACAGAACTCTATTCATCACAATCAGATGATCAATTCTTTGAGAAATTGTAATTTTCACTCTTTTTAAGATACTTTTAAGGGAAAGGGCTTCCTAGAATACCTGGACAGCCTTAGTTTTAACATTTCTGTCTACCTTCACCATAAGAAGCTTGCAAGACACCCCCCCCCCAAAAAAAAAAAAAAAAAAAAAAAAAAAATCATCTCAGGTCAGTACACTGAATGACCCCTTGTTTAGCAGCAGGCCCCAGATGAGCACTTCTCCAAGGCATTCACCCAGGATCAGTTTAAAAAATCATCTTAAAGTATTGACTTTTGTTTATTTGCCCTGCCTGGTCCTCTCTGAGGTCAATCTCCCCAGTCTTCTTAACATTCAGCCACATGCCAGGCTATTGTCATGGGTCAGTCAGCCATTCATAATACACTCACTCGCCAGATGAGGGCATGTGTCAAATGGTAAGAAGGAACATTTGATATGTTTTATGTCATTGGGCGATTAATCAAGTGGAAGACGGGTCCCTGATTATTTACCTTCTTTTAACTTGAGCTATCAAAAAAGCTTACATTTCTACGCCTATAATTCCTTTTAGCTGAAAACACAACTGTGTCCTGATAAATGTTTAAATTGCCTAAAGCATCCTTTTACTTCACACCTTAAGATGGACACTATAAAAACAAACATGCTTATTTCTTGAAACTTCTATAATGGATAATCATCTGAGCCAATATCTATGCAAACAGTATTGTATATTCAATAAGTCTGGTTCTTTTGGGACACTAGATTGATTATTAACTAGTAACCTGGATGCCTTATGTTACATTTCCACATGGTTACACCATATGTCCTAAACCAATGCACTCCTCATCTATGTAAAGACAAAGCATAATTTTGTAGAATACTCAGCAAAAGTTCTCCAAACTATCATCATAATTTATGAAATAATCAGTTTTTTCAGTCTAATACTTCTGTCAATGTCATCTTTAAAGAGAAAAATTTAACACTGGAACAGCAAATATTAATTACATGTAGTTTCCTAATTTAAGACTATTAGGTTCTGTTGCCATGTCCAATCTTCTTTATCTTTTTAAGTATTTGAATTATGTTCTGGTTGACCACAGATCAACCCTCCACCTTTTCTCAGCCTTGATCATGAAGTTATCTATCTGGACCATGATATCTTTAACACATAGTATTCAGTAACAAGTCCTTCAGACAGCACTGCACATAGCTATTCAGGGGAGATGTCAGCACTCACCTTAGCATGTATCTTTTTGGTACTGGAATTCTTCCTCAACTTCTTTCTCAACTTTTTCCTAACCATTTTCAGCTGTTTCATACCACTCTTTGAAAATCAATTCTT